CAATTATTAGGATTCGTTCAATTTATTTAATTATTTGTAAGTGTGCATATTTTTTGTTAAAACGTTTAAATTTTTGCAAATAAAGAAACGTTTCACACACCACCCATATAATGTCCATACAATATTCACAATAAGAAAATAAGAAATCTGTAAAATCAAAACTATTAGTTAATTAAAATTTTTCTTTTTTTAAACTTAACAAAATAGTTTTAAAATTTAAGTTAAAAAAAGTAGATTTAAAATGAGTAATTTCAGGTATGAAACGCTAACAAAGTAATGAATGGGTCATCGAGCTATTGCAAAGTAATGAATGGCTCATCGAGCTATTGCAAGCATCAAGCTATTGCAATCATCAATCAATAACTCATCACATGTCAACAAAAAAAAATGGATGGGAAAAAGAGAGTCAAAAAAACAATATCTTGTCAAATAAAGATAAAACTAAACTATTTTAAAAGTAAATATTGACTAAAAATATTAACATGAATGTAACTTTTAAACTTGAAAAGTAGTTTTTATTGTTTATTTATGGAGTTTCTTCAATTCCAATAGACTAAATGAACAGTAAGATTTGCATCTTGCAATAAATAGAATGAATGTTCCACATAGAAACAGATAGAGGTGTGAGAGTAAAAAATTGATATAAAAAAAAAAGTTTGTATTAACTTTTGGAAGATAAAATAGTTTTAAGTCAATAATCTTGCAAAAAATGGAGACAATTAGATGTTTTATAAAAGAAACTATTAGAAATTATATGCCTTGAAAAGCAAAGTTTTTATAAAAGTTTACATTTTGACAAATAAAAACTTTTATAAAAATTGTGGAAGGAATATCTAAAAAATCAGTCAGAAAACTCACACCAAAAAAACTATATATACGTTTGATTTATAACTATAACTCTATTATAAAACGTATTAAAAACTATATAATACGTTTGAATAATAGAATCTGAAAATGAACCTGAAACAATGACCTTAATATATTTAAAAACACTATAACGTATACTATACGATGTTATTTTTTAAAACACAACTTACCTTACTTATATGTCAACTTTTAATACTATTTTTGTTTAATAATGAAACCAAGTAACAAAAAAGATTTTCAAAATGCTACTATTATAACTTACTTAAAGAGCTGAAGGAATAACTTACCCTAAAAGCAATAAAAGGTTGTTTTACGTTCTTGATACTTTCTTCGACCCTATAATGCTTTTTTTGATCTGTCAAAATTATCAATGAATACCATATATAAAATTTATAATTCTATTTTTAAATTTATTTTAAAAACAGAGAACGTTTTAAATTTTTGATTTGAATTGAATTTGTAAATTCAGAATTTTGCATAACTAAGTAGATATTGAAGTTTCACTCTGTTAATCACTTTGATACTTATAGCAGTTAGACAAAGTGCGCCTCTCGTAAGCAGAAGATTTTATCCTTTATTATTATTATTTTTTTTTACACGCTTGCAAACAAAACGGTTTATTATCTAATTTATAGTTTAATTTAAATAATTAATTTTGTTACACTTCAAAATTGTGTCTCAAAATTAATTATTTAAACTAAATTTTAAATTGTATGTTTATTAAAAAAATATTTATTAAATGCACGAGTAAAGATAAAATAGTATGTAAAGGTAATCCAGAGAGATTTATTAAACTTGCATATTTTTCCAAAAAAAACCGAGTCAGGTTTACGAGTTGTAACGTTTACCTGACTGGGTACACCTTACACAACTGACGTTGTAAACTCAAATTAATCTTAATTTAAATTTGGCATAATTCACGTTCACAAAAATGTGGGTGACATTAAAACTTAATTTTATTTTCAAACGATAAATTACATAAACAACAAAAAAAAAATAACACTTTGAAATATGATATAGTAAACATTATAAAAATATTTGAAATTTGAACATTTTTTGCATTTTTATTAATGTGTAGAATTTTCTTGAACTGAAGCAAATCAATAAACAAGTAATTGGATTTTGTAAATTCAATTAAAAATAATATTATCGATAAACTATAAATAAAAAATAAGTTATATTGAAAAATGATTTATAATGAAAAAAGTTATAATAGAGTAAAGATATAACAAAATATAATTTTTGATAAAAAAATACACTTTAATTTAGTTTCTATAACAACTGTTTGTAGGCCCTTATTGACGTCACTCATATTAGCACTAGTGTTTGATTTTGGAAGCTGCTGGAGAGCTTGTGTAGACTTTATGAACTGTGTCGTCTGCTTTTTCATTTTGCAATAGAGTATTTTAAAAAAATATTTTAAACATGTTAAACTCAATAGAATGGAGGAACTCACTACTAGCAAATATTCAGCAACGAATAAAATGCGAATGTTTTAATTGTGAATTTGCAGTTACTGTTGAATTTCAAACTTTGAATCATTTGATTCTAAAACCAGCGCTTTAAATTCACAATTCGCGAGTAGCAATGACTGAATCAAGGCTGTTTGTTTTGATTAAGGAAAGCTATATTTTCTTTTTTTAATATTAATTTGCAACAAAAATGTTAAAACCCTGACAATATTTACACCTGTTTGTTGTTGTTCAGGTTTGCGTTTAATTAAGTATTAAAACTAATTCGTACGCAGACTTGCAGTTATGCTTTATGTTATGCAGTTATGCCAGTTTGCATTTATAACTTTTGCATGTTTTGTATGAAAAAGTTTACCTTTTTCAAAAAAAAAAACTTGAAAAAATTAAAACATAAAAATTTTAAAGAAATTTTTTTGTCTTCCTTAGCTGATCAGAATTTGTTGTTACTTACGGCAAAACTTACCGTCGTTACTTATAATAAAAACTTGTCGTTGTTTCTTACGACAAGTTTTTGATACAGTTTATTAGCTCAGGTCAGCAGTTTTAGGTACAGAAAGCAGATAAAATGTTTTTTTAACATTTTTTAAAAGTTTAAATGTAGCTTAAAACAGATTTAGTGTAAATGTCATACTCTGAACCATGTCAATATATAGTTGAGAAATGAATTGTCTAATGACCTGAGTTTAGACATGACTTTTTATGCTTTGAAAAAATTTGTAGTTTAAAATATTAAACTTTCTTTTTTACTTTTGGAAAAACTTCTTTATTTGATATTTTTGGTATTATGATTTTAGCATGTTTTGACTAGCTCTATAGAGTGAAAATAGCTTTTGTTTTTGTAAAGCGGTTAATGACAGAGGATTGTCTACCTTGAAAATACACAACTCATTGTGAAAGAGCACTAATACATTAATGAGGGTTTTTTCTAAAGTTTTTAGGTTTTTTTTAAAAGCCATACTTTATCATATTTATATCTTTAATAAATATCGAAAATACATTTGCACAACAATTTTTAATTTAGTGGATGAATAATTAATTAAGTGCTTTCAATTGGAATTATTTTATTTGATAAGTAACATTTCTTTACAAATAAGTGAATTTTTTTTTCCAAGAATTTATAAAAAAATCGTTTTTGTAAGATAACTTTAACGCGACTAAATGTAAATATGTAACGATAAGCCAAAACAGTTTATATCTAACAAAAAGTATATATGTAATGCTAAGCCAAACAGTCAAAACAGTTTATATCTAACGAAAACATTGCGAACATAATATGTGCACATATTTAAGATAATTCATTTGCTGCTTTCATAATATTCATTCTTAATGAAAATATAATTGAGATTACTCGAAAGAATACAATTCATTTTTATTGAGAATATAATTGAGATTACTTCAAAGAATACAATTCATTCATAATTGAGAATATAATTGAGATTATTCCAAGAAATATATTTCATTTTTATTGAGAATACCAAGTTCAAATATTTCTTAAGCAATTTGATTAGCGTACATTTGAGTTTAAAATCGGCATCATAAACTCATTTTTTTAAATAGAACTTGTATTTTAAGATGTGATATAACTTTGGCTGTCAGCATCCAAAGTTATATCATTATCACTTTATCACAAAATCCTCCTACTTTTATCTTAAATTTTAAACTCCTAATTTCTTTAGGAGTTTAAAACTTCAAGCATTATAATGCTTGAAATTCACGTGTAAGCCCTAATTGAACTGAGCAAATGATAGAAAAAACATGATGATTTAAAAAAAAATAACTCCGCTTTAGCTTTACTTTATAAATGAAAAATGGTGGAAAATTTATCTGACATGCGCTTTTTTTTTTATTTGCTGTATGAATAAATCTTTTTATAACTTTTCTAAGTAGTATATTTGCTAGAACCTTTGAATTGGACATGGTAAAAAAGTCAAGTGGATTTTATTGAATGATTCAGGAAAGGTCAAATATATATTATTGAACGATCCTGAAACAAGGAGTCCAATCAGATTTTTACAAGATATTATGGCTCTCAATTATTAAGAGAGACAAATTCAGAGCAAAAATTTAAATCTTTTTAAATTCACTTACAAGATATTTTAGTTATCTCAGACCGGAGTCAGTTGGAACGTTTTTTTATTTCTGAACTAATCGCCAAAATGTATATATTAAAAAATATATTATTGTCTTGATTCTTTTTAGATTAGCACATAACATTAATTATTTAGTTTTTAATATATCTTTGATTAGAGAGCTGCAAAAAAGTATTCCAATAAACCCCGCCATAGGCGCTAGTTGGAACAGACAATGGGGTTAGTTAAAACTATAAAATAATGCTTGTTTACTAATAACAAGCACTTATAAAGTGTGTGTGTGTGTGTGTGTGTGTGTGTGTATGCGTGTATATTACACCTCAGTCATCAACGCAGAAGTCACAGATGTATTCGACAGCATGCAAATCTATACTTGTCCATATATACCTTGTGAGTTCAAATACACATGCTGTTTCTCGCTCACTATTTTTAACTAATGGAGATTTTTTTACTGTTTTTAGATTTTTTTGTCTACCATTGTTAATTATCAACGTAGTCTTTTACATCATAGACTTTTGGCACCTTTTTTTTGTAGTTTTTATCTCTCTCTTCTTTTCTTTTGCTACATTGTTTCTTGCAAAAGTTGGAAATCATTTATTTATTAATTTAATAAATATTAAAAAGCCACAACAAAATAAGGTCAAAAGAGAACAAAAAAGTTTAATGACTAACATATGCTAAATATTAATATAACACATGCTAAATATTAAGAATTTAAGCTTTAGTTTAGCTTGCTTGTATAGACAATAAAATAGCAAATATATTCTATAAGCGATAATGGAAGGAATATAAGTGATGCCTTATAACTTAAACAATCCAACAAACCACCAATATTAGTTTGCCTGCCAATAGAAGCTCAAAAGTATAAGACAACAGCATTAAATGATTGCACAATTTACAAATTTTACATTGATTTTTAACTTTTAAAGTTGTTATTTATTATTATTAGAAAAAAAAAAAAACACAATAGATCTTTTGGTGTTATTAGTGACTTGGTGTTATCTTTTTAGTAAAGATTGCTAGCTAAATAAAAAGTTGAAAGAAGAGAGAGAGAGAAAAAAAAAACTTAAAAGAAGTTTTTTTAGATATTTTTTAAATGATACAGTGGCGTAACTAGGGAGGAAGGGGGAGGCCTGGAACTTAGAGGGACCGCGGAGATTTACAAATTTTACTCATATGAAAAATATGACTGGTAATAACAATATGAGTGTTACTAATTTCTGTTTTATCAAATACATTTTATGAATTTATAATTTTTCACGTATTCATACGGGCATTTTTGGAGAAAAAATTGAGAAAAAATTTAAGGAGGGCCCCTTTACTTTTTTGGCGGGAGGGCCCCAAATTTATAGTTACGCTACTGAAATGATACATGATATTTCTGATCATTCAGATCAGATTCAAATCAGACAGACATTTCTGATCATTTTCCTGTTTGCTTCTCTTTGACACAAGATTTAAAATCTATAAATAGTTGTAAAATAAAAATTTATAAAAGGAAAATCAACAAATTTGCTATTCAACAATTTAAAGACTCACTATCGGCAGAACAATGGGACAAGGTATACCAAGAATGCAACCTTGGGAACACAAACTCTGCTTATAATAACTTTGAAAAAATTTTCCTAAAAAACTATAATATGCATTTCCCAATTAAAGAAAAATTAATAAAAGAAAAATATTTAAAATGTCCTTGGATCACCAAAGGTATTAAAAAATCCTCCAAAAAAAAAAACAAAAACTTTATATCAAATACTTAAAAAATAGAAGTGAGGCAAACCTAAATGTTTACAAACAGTATAAAAACTTGTTTGAAAAAATTAAAAAAAATTCGAAGAAAAACTTTTACTCAAATAAAATAAAAAACTCAAATGGTAATATTAAAAAAACTTGGGATATCATAAAAGAAATAATTGGGACTAAACACTGCAAATCAAATAGTTTACCTGCACAAATTGTCATAGATAATAATGAGTATAACGATTGTAATGTAATTTCAAAAAAATTTAACAGTTTTTTTGTCAACATAGGCCCAAATCTAGCTTCAAAAATCCACTGTCCAAACAACTCATTTGAAACTTACTTAACTAGTGTCAACAGCGAACTAATATTTAAAGAACTAAAAATTGATGAACTCGAAAATGCAATAAACTCTATTAAAATAAACAAGTCTCCAGGTGTAGATGACATTAGCAGTAATATTGTTGCTAATGTCTCTTCGCAGATACGCAAACCTATTTTTGAAATATTCAAATCATCAATTAAAACTGGAACTGTACCAGATAAATTAAAAGTAGCTAAAATTATACCTATTTTTAAAACCGGTGAAACATTTCAAATAAATAATTACAGACCAATTTCTATTCTTCCAATTTTCTCTAAAATACTTGAACGAATAATCTACAATAGACTATATGAATATCTAATTCAAAACAAACTCTTAGATAAAAAACAATTCGGTTTTCAATCACAACACTCGACAGAACATGCAATTTTAGATATAGTTAATAGCATAAGTGATTCTTTTAATAAAAAGCAATTTGTATTAGGAACTTTTATAGACCTATCCAAAGCATTTGACACAATTAATCATGATATCCTACTTAAAAAAATGGAAAAATACGGAATAAAAAATACTACCCTAGATTGGTTTAAAAGTTATTTATGCAACAGACAACAATGCGTTATTTCGAATGATAATAAATATTCAAATTTACTAGAAATTAAATGCGGAGTTCCCCAAGGTTCCATTCTTGGCCCTCTTTTATTTTTAATTTATATTAACGATCTTCCACAATCTCTAAAAAAACTTGATGCTGTAATGTTTGCTGATGACACAAATTTGTTTTATTCATCAGCATCAATTGAAAATCTCTTTGAATCTGTGAACGATGACCTTGATAATCTAAACACCTGGTTTAAAGTAAATAAATTATCTTTAAATACAGAAAAAACAAAATACATCTTGTTTCATTCCAACCATCAAAAAAATAATATACCAAGAATGCTACCATTACTAAAAATTGATAACATAAATATCGAAAGAACTAAAACCGTTAAATTTCTTGGGATAATTATTGACGAAACGATTTTTTGGAAAGCCTATATAAATACAATAAATACAAAAATATCAAAAAGTATCGGCATACTCTACAAAGTCAAACCTTTACTTTCCCAGAAAAATTTTAAAAGTCTCTACTTTTTTTATATACAAAGTTATTTAACATATGCTAATATTGCCTGGGGAAGTACAAATAAATCTAAACTAAATTCTCTATATGTACACCAGAAACACGCATCAAGATTGATTTATAATACAAATAAATTCCCTCATGCCGATCCTTTACTTAAAAACTTGAATGCGTTAAATGTCTATCAAATTAACATCTACCAAAATATTTTATTTATGCTCAAATATATGCTCGGGCTTGTCCCATCTCATTTTACTAATAACTTTTTTCAAACCTACGCCAACAGATATAGCACAAGAGGAACAGGAAATTTCACCCTGCCCATTAAAAAAACAAAATTTTCAAGATTTTCAATTGCATACCGTGGCCCCTACTTATACAACAAAATAATATCTCAAAATATAGAACTTACTAAATTAGATAATCTTACTATCCTTAAAAAAAAAATAAAAGATCTCATAATTAACAAAACCAATTTTATCGATATGTATTAAATGTAAAAGAAAATGAATATAATAAATGTAACAAGAACAATTTAAATTTTAAAATAAATAAATAAATAAAAATAATAATAATAATAAATATAGTAGCAACTATACATAGTAAAATATTACTGAACAGTGGACCTCAAAGTTAATGTGTGTTTTGTGAAATTACTCTTTAAATTTTTTGTTCATTTTGCATTTTAAAGGTTCTCGATGAAAAGACTTCTCTTAGTCTTCTGCGAGTTTCCTTACAACAACTTAGCGTTATTATGATATATTAATATATTTTTTCAACGATAACCACAAGCAAGTCCCTAGTAGCCCTGTGCTGCGACGGACTTGCGTATATTTTTTAAATGCATGGGTTAATAGCCAGCAAGATATACATCCATATATTTTTTTCATATACACAAATATATATCATGTCACATTTAATTTGTTATGCAGTACAAAATGTATGTCAGGAATAGAGGAAACAATTTTGTTTATCGTTTAAACAAAGACATACTTTAATTCTAATACTAATGTTTAATTTGATATTAATGTTTTTCATTTATTTTTATAAAATAAGATCTTAGGTCATACTCGAAATTGTGTTTTTTGAAAATTTGATTTTTGGGATTTAATTTGGTTGTGAGGTTTAGTTTGGGATTTAGTTGAGCCTGAATAGTATTTGGCCAAAGATTTTTTTTGAACAATGATGATACAACAAAGAGGATATTTCAATATTCAAATAAAAAAATATCTGAAAAAAAGTCTAGTAGTAAGTTTTTTTATACTTCTACATAAATAATCTAAAATAAATAAAGTTTGTTCTTGAACAATGGCCTTAGGTAGGATATTTATTTAAATAATTTATTGATTTAAATGCATGATTTTAAAGGCTTTGTAATTTTTTAAATTTTACTTGTGAATGCTATTCCATATAGTATTATTGTATGAAAGATGACTATAAACAAGGTTAAAGTAAAACATCTTTACAACACACACCGGTTGCACATTTATACAACCTGTTGCACCCATCGCACAACACAGTTGTAGCAGACAATAATTTTGTTGCTACGAAATTTAAAAGGTTTTTCTATAATAAATTTTTATCAAACAAAATTCCCAAAACTTGGATAATTCTTACAAAATTTGTACTTATTAATAATAATTTTGCGCAAAAATTAAAAAACGTACTGTAATACGCAAAATCAAATAGGTGGAAACCAAAACTAAGCTGATATTTTGATATAAATAAACTTAAACACTTAGGTAAAATATTCTTAAAAGATTAGGGTTTAAATAAACTTAAAAGATTAGGGTTTTCACTCTAGAGGTTACATATCATAACGGCAAATTGTAAATCTTGTAAGTTACATATTGTTAACTGCGTGAACAATATGTAACTTACAAAAACAAATATAGTATTATATTATTCTGAATACAAAAAGAGAAAAACTGATTATTTACTTTCCGTAACTTGATAAGAAACCAGTTGATAAAGGAATGAATTAGGTTTACCAATAAACTCCTTTAATTTACACTAGAATTTTATAATCTTTCATTCATTGCTTATCTAATAATTGACTAACCTTATTTAACCTCTGATTTAATAATATAAAGTAAATAATGGAACATAAAAGGTTAACAACATACTGAATGGGCAGTATTTTGAAGGAACAAAAATTATATTGGAGGGGAAGGGGGGGGGGGGGAGGGAGCAGTGCTGGACTAAGGGCCCCTAAATAGTTTTAAGAACTTTTTTTTTTTAAAAGTCATTTTTTCAAAACTGTTTATTTGAAAAATTATTAGGTGATGGGGGGGGGGGGGGGGTAAGGGGCAAATGCCCCAGCTACTCCCCCGGTTGCTACGGCCCTGTGTAAATAATAAAAAGTCTCCTAAAGATTTGGCTTTAGAGAAATGTAAAGACAGTATTTCTCTTTAGGCGGCCGCAAAATATGCATTAAAAATTCAAAGCAATAAAATGATGAAGATATTCGATTTAACTAAGAAATGTTAGAATCTACAAAATCTGCTAGAAACGATATTAAACTACGTTAGAAAAGGAAAAAAAAGCTAAAAAGTTATCAACTGTAATTAAAATTTTTTTTGTTCTGTTTTCTAACCTTGGGATTTGTAGATTAACAATCTGTTGGATGAAATATTCTGTTTTTAACTATTGTGAATAAAGATGTTGTAGGTAATATAAACATTTTTGTCCTGTGCTACACATGTGGTAATAGTATTTAAAATATTTATGTGGATAACTGTTGCTATTCTTAAAAAAGTTGAATATGGTAAATCCTTAGAGCTTGAAAAAGTTATTATTTAACCGTTTTAAAGTGTCCATTCGATGAATAAAACCGTTATTATTGTAAAAATAATTAAAGAATTTTCTTTATTACCTAAAAATGTAATTTGATTGTAATCGTGAACCCTAACCAGTAACCATGATTGTAGCCCCAAACTTTAACCTATAACCATGATTGTCTTGAATTTCTAAACTTGAGTTTCTTTATTATTCAGAGCAATTCAAATTTATTACAGAAGTTGAAATAAACTTTTTTTCTATATATTAATTTTCATCTTCCAATCTTTAATGTTTTCACACGACTATATTTATTTTTATTTTTCAATCTGCTTTTATTTTAATTTTTACTGAAAAATAATAATTTTATAATTGTAAGTACATAAAAAAAGTAGTTCTAACTAGATTAACAGAAAACAAACTTTCAATAACCGCGTAACTTAAAATGTAACTATAAATCTAGCTGTAGTAGTTAAAGTGACAAACTTAAAATTGTTTTATAATATTTACTGGCTTAATATTGAAATATTTAGTTAAATTACTACTATTATACCAGATGTTGATGATACAAATAAAAATTTAAATAATTCACAATAAATGTATTATGGTACTACTAGTAGAATCTGTTATTCTAAACTAATATCTGTTAAATATAAAAAAGTTTTATTTAAAAAAATAATCATTGCGAATCAAGATTTTGTGCATGGCTTTACTGGCTGACACTAAAGATTCGAGCCAAACTACATCAAAAGGTTTGATGAGATATTCGTGATCCAGAAGGTTCAAAATCTTACCGCGCCACTTATTTTATCAAGTTAAAAATGTTTATCAATGTCGTTTTCTTTTACTTGGTTGCACACTGAAAGGATCACTGTCCTCGTCACTCTGAAAAAAAAATCAAGTACTTTTAACAAGCAGATGACTTTTAACGAAAAGTCAAAAATCTTTACATTTTACAACGATTTTACAGTAGGGAAAACCGGGGCCAGCTGGCAGCAGGGGTATGTTGACAAATTGCGTTTAACTTTAGAGCCTTTTATTAGAAAGTGCCATAAATTACATGGCACTTTCTTAATTTACCATTTTATCTTTCACTGTAGTACTGTATGACTTTGCCCGTGCGCATAATAGATATGGAAACTTATGATGCAAGCAGCCCTGGCCTCACTTTTATTAATTTTTATTCCATTTTTATGAAATTTTTACTTTAATAATACTAAAAAAAAATTATTCACGAAAACACTGCAAAAAAATTACATTATTAATAACATTTATTTATATAATTAATAATATATAAACCATAATATTGTATAATTTAAGTTTTATAAAAAAGATAAGAAAATATCAGGACAACAGAATCAACTTATAAAAAATAAATAAAACAAAAAGCTTAAATTAATAAAAATAATAATAATAAATAATAATAATAATAATAATTTTTTTTTTTTGTTATTTTAAATATTAACACAGTTTTTATAAACAAAACTATAACCAAAATTAAAAACATACAGAAATGGTTTCAGCAGTAACACATGAAGATTTGCCTTTATCGAAACTAAAAATAAGTTTATATTTATATGTATATAACATAAATGTTTAAAGTTTTATATTTATATTTATTTATTACTAAGTTTTATATTTATATTTATTTATTACTAAGTAGAAGCTTAAAAGATTTTGATTTATTTAGTTTTATTTATTTATAAAAATATTAGTTTAAAACTGCGGTAAACCCAGTTTCCATGAACTATAATTTGTATATTTGTAAAGTATTATAAAATTTGTTATTTATCTGGCTATTAATGCAACATCCCAACATGTATATGAAATAATATTTATGACATAATTTGTTATTTGTCTGAATATCAAAGCAACACCCCATCATGTATATGACATAATTTGTTATTTATTTGACGATCAAAGAAACACCCCAACATGTATATGACATAATTTGCTATTTATCTGACTATCAAAGAAAAACCCCAACATATATATGACATAATTTTTATGACATAACTTGTTATTTATCTGACTATCAAAGAAACACCATAACATGTATATGACATAATTTGTTATTTATCAGACTATCAAAGCAACACCCCAACATCTATATGACATAATTTGTTATTCATTTAATTTATTGTTATTTATCTATAGATTATCAAAGCAACACCCCAACATATATATACTACACCCCATCATGTTTATGACATAATTTTTTTGTTTCTTATGACTAGATTACAAATAAAAAAAAATTAAAATTTTTTGATGAATTTTTAAGATTGATAAATCTCAACATTTACAAACAAATGTTAAATATATCCATTAAACACCACAAATCAATTGTAGAATTTTCACAAACTCTAACTAAAATACATTTTTGCAGTTATTATGTAAAACATATGAACTTTAAGACTTGTATGCTGCACATGCATCATAATTCTTAAAGCGTGGGGTATGTCCTACTTTTATGGGCTATTTAACCATCTTTGGGATATATTTATATTATATATATATATATACATACATATACACATGTCAGAGTTTTGAGTTTTAGGAACTAACTTTACCATATTCCAGAAAATACCACACTCTTTTTTCTCCTCTTTGAACCAGTGTAAACTATCAAGGTTGATGTTCCCAAATGGTTACGAGAGGGATTTGTTAAAAAAAAAGTTTTCAAGATAACTAATTACTGAAAAGTACCTAAAATGAACACAATCCAGACTACAAAAAAAAAAAAAAAGGTGAAGGTGAAGAACAAAGGGCGTGGAGCCAATAATGTGAAATAAATAAAATCAACATTTGCTTTGTCAGCAACTTTAAGAGACTCGTTGTCTTGTTATATAAAAGTTTTGATGAGTTTGAGATACTACTTTCTTGTATTTTTAATAAATATCAGCACAAAATTAAAATTTAATTCTTAGTAAGTGTGCATTTTATGATTATATTGATTTGTGTATATTTATAAAAGTATTCATATAAAGAAAACAAAACTAAAAGCATTTTAAATTTAACTAGGATGTTTTTTCCTATGTGGTCTTCATATTTGTGTATATTTTCTCTTAGTAAAAACAATAAGAAAAAAGTAAAGTAATTCTGATGGATGTAATCGAGAAACATATTATTCTATATTTCTTCATCTACTACTGTGATCAAAAAGTAAGGTGAATTTTTTTATAAAATGAAAAATCTTTATTTATTCTTCCAAATCTGTATCGTCCCCCTCAAAATAATCCCCCCCGGCCCCAATGCACTTTTGCCAACGTTTTTTCCAGTCTTCGAAGCATGCCGAAAAGTCCTCGGTAGGGATAGCCTTCAATGTGCGTGCCGATTCATGTTGGATCTCTTCAATGGACTCAAAACGATTTCCCCGGAGTGGTCTCTTGAGCTTTGGGAACAGCCAGAAGTCACACGGTGCTAAGTCGGGCGAATACGGTGATTGTGGAGCAACATGGGTAGAGTTTTTGGCAAAAAACTCACGAAGAACCAGTGCTGTGTGCGAAGGCGCATTATCGTGGTGCAAAATCCAAGAGTTATTGGCCCATAATTCCGGTCTCTTTTTGCGAATAGCTTCACGCAAACGTCGCATAACGCTTAAATAATATTCCTTGTTGACAGTTTGGCCAGTTGGAAGGAATTCGTAGTGCACGACACCACAATAATCAAAGAAAACAGTCAACATGACCTTGATTTTTGAGCGACTTTGACGTGGTTGCTTCGGTCTCGGCTCGTCTTTTTCACGGTATTCACTCGATTGGTCGGTTGTTTCAGGGTCGTATGCGTAGATCCAAGTCTCATCGCCAGTAATAATTTGTTTGTAGACGTCTTGATAGTCAGAAAACATTGCTTCACACGTTTTAACGCGACGCTCTTTTTCAAAGAAATTGAGAAATTTCGGCACCAAACGTGATTTGAGTCTTCTGTGGCCCAAATGATCCTTCAAAATCGCTTGCACTGACCCAAATGATATTCCAACCATGTCAACAAGGTCTCGAATGGTTAACCGACGAATTGCAAGCACCAATTATTTGATTTTGTTGATGTGGCAATCATCAATTGAAGTCGATGGTCGTCCGGAGCGTTCCAAGTCATCAACACGTTCTCGGCCTTCTTTGAAGTCTTTGTACCACTTGTTAACATTTTTTTGAGACATAGTCTCTTCACCGAAGGCCTTTTGCAACATTCGATACGTTTCAGCAGCAGAAATATCATTCCGCAAACAAAATTTAATAGCACTTCTTTGCTCAACAAAAATAGACATCGTGAAAATCGCCGAATGCACTTTTGGTACTTCAGAAACAAGCGTAAACAAAAAAAAAATAATTATGAGTTTGACATGTAATTTGGCGCAAATGTTAATGACATTCCTACCAACTTAAAAATAAAAAAGATTGGACGATTGGAATAAGGCGGGAAGTTTAAATTAAAAATTCACCTTACTTTTTGATCACAGTAGTATAGTTTTATGTATCTTTGCAAAGGTATGTGATTATAAAATAGAGAGTTTTTCTTAAATTTTTTTTTAAGATTTAAATAATTGAAAAAGTTTTCAGAATTGACCTCAATGATGAACTGATCACCAATATCTAAACAATTGCAACATTTTGAGTAAGATGAGCATGTTAAAAGCGTGCTTAAGAACAAGATCATTTGATAGTTTTTTAAAGTTGATAATATGCATTGCAAAGTATGCTATTTTACAAATACTACACCAATGTTTTATTTCAAAATACTCTTTATTTATAGTTTTCGATAAACATGTTTATATGTGTTACATAATCTGTTTATAGTTTATATATGTTTATAGTATGTTGTTTCCCTCTTTTAAAAGTGGCGTTACTTAGCATTATGCAGAGCAAGACTTCTATCCTTTTTAGTCGAGCAATTTTACTAAGTTGTGACGTTACTTGGCAGCATTTAGTGCATAGCATTATGTGCGCATTTAACACATAATGCACATGTGCACAATGGTGTTAAAGTTTTTTTATACTTTAAACTTTGTTTTTTATACTTAAGACAAAGAATAGTAAGATTCATACTTAAGAAGTCTCACTATTTATAATCATATTATATATTGAGCAAGTTAATAATAATGTCAATGCCCTTTTTAATCTTTATAAATCTCTGAAATATCTTTATTGATAATGTATCTTAACAGATATTATAACTTTAAAGAAGCTGACGTGACCTTGTTTTAAATATGAGTAAGTTGTTTTTTATTGGTTTTTGTTTGTTAGATATTCAATCATGTTTTAAATGAGTCTAATTATTTAGCACAGTTGTCTGGTGGTAATAATCAGGTAAGATTTTATAAAGTTAAATTTAATTTTAAAAACTTTTCAAAAAATTTACATTTGCTTTTTTTTTAGTTTCAAATTCAACAAATTTTTTTGTACAAAATGTTTAAAACTGGATAACAATATTTTTGATTGTTATTTTAATTTTAGTCCCATATCACATATCGTAGGATTTAGTCCCATATCACATATCGTAGGATTTAGTCCCACATCACATATCGTAGGATTTAGTCCCACATCACATATCGTAGGATTTAGTCCCACATCACATATCGTAGGATTTAATTTCTAATTTAACTTTATCTTTAGTTTTATAGTTTGTAATTATTTTAATATGAATAGGTTTTACATTTACTTATGCGGTGTTTTAAATAAAATTTGTTTGATCATTTTCTAATTTATTGTGAAGTTGCAGTTTACGTTTTTCTATTTAGATATGAAAGTAATATTGAAAAAAAGCTTCCAATGTATATCACAAATGTATATCACAATGCATTACAATTTTTAAATCATTATTTTTAATTTTGACTCCAACCTTTTTTTATAACGTCCCTTACTAAGAATAATTTTCGCTAGATTGATTTATAATGAAACATGTTATAATTTTATTAATTACAAATAAAAAGTTTAAATTCATTTAATGATATAAAAATTTTATATGATTTTCTTATTTATTACAAATGATTTTATGCTCAATATAATTTTCTAAAAAGATTGTTATATATATATATATATATATATATATATATATATATATATATATATTCTTCTCTTAATACATATTAGAACAAAGACTTATTATCACAAAAAGTTAGTACAGATGATAGTCTAAAATATTTTAATAGATAATTATCTACAACATAAAGTTAAGTTTCATTGTAAAATTAAAGTTAATTATTAACATTTTTGACATTAACATTTATTTCTACATTATTACCTTTAATATCTGTCTTTCTTTTCAGATTTTTTTTCTTTTAATGTTTTCAATTAGAAGAACCATATTTTTAATAAAAATAAACATTTTTTTTTTATTTGTTTTTTGTTTTTATAGTTTTACATCTACTATCTCATGATGGTATCTTTTATGCTTAACTGCAAATATTACAAACATTTTTATTCTTATTTTATTTCGTTAGTTTTACTTTAATGGTCTACCAACTATCATTAGTCTACTTTGTCTACTTTGTAAATATGGTTTTAACTTAGTAAACTTTAATTATTTAAAATTTACCATGTTAATCATTAGCTTATAGTTTGAAAAAGAAATTAGTTTGTCGCAATCAAAATAAGAATTTATTTTCTGGTCAAAATACAAAATTTGTTTGCACTGATAGCTGTTTTTGTTATTTTGTGTAACAGCTAATTGTCTTTGCAATAATATCTTTTTTTTCAAGATTATTTTTAACAATGCTCTAGAAAAAACATCGGCAACATATATGTATATATATATATATATATATATATATATATATATATATATATGTGTGTGTGTATATATATATACATGTGTGTGTATGTTGAAAAGATATATTTTGTTTCATTTTTTCAACAATTTAGGGCTGTCCATTAATTACATCAAAAAATTTTTTGAAATTTTTACCTCCCTCCCCCCTCCTTGTCAACAATTTGCAAAATTCCAGAGACCCTCCCTATAAAATTACGTTAACTTTTGATTACCCCCCCCCCCTCTCTATAAAGAAAATACGCTACAAACTCAGTCTAATTTTCTGTTATTTAAGCAATGAAACTCAAAAAAAAAAAAAACTTTAATTGACTCTCTCCCCCCCCTCCCCCATGTCAACAATTGTCAAAAAAGTTCAGACCCCCCACTCCCCCCTATTTTGTTAACGTAATTAAGGACAACCTCTTTATGCTTTTGCAATTGTTAAAAAGTTATATATTTTGTTTCTTTTTCTAATAATGTTTTGCTAATCAAAATAAATATAGAAAAATGTATACTTTAATTTTATTATTTGGGTAAAAGTAAAATAATTACAGACAGTACGGATCAGACTTACCAAGACCAATATTTTACTGGTGCGGACAGCTAATAACTATTTATAATAGTCTTAAATTTAAATGATTTTTTCGAGAAGAAACAGGCTTAGAGCATTATTTTAAAACCAGTTTCTCCAAGAAAACTTTTTTATAATAATAATTTCTTATATTATCATTATCTTAATCACTATAAAATTATGTTTTTTTTTTAGCTTAAACATAATTCTTTCATTTTTTTTAGTTGCCTTTGTTTTATAAGTTTGCTTACTATTGAAACATGATTTTAATTTAGTAAATTAATTAAACTAATTGTGTTATAGGTATTTTGGGCTACTAAGTTGTTTTTGTCATTATCATTAACAGTAAAAAAATTTTTTTTGCTCATTGTTGTCTTTTTATAATACAGTGTCTTGGAAATGCCGTCTGACTGTCTGACTAATTTCTGACTCTCTTTAAGAAGGGGTTATTTATAAAAGAAACATTAATGGAACTCTATGTTATTAGGTATTTCTTAATAACACAATTGATAATGACCATGCATAAAATTTTTTTATCAAGTCCCATGCTAATTTATGATATAAATATTAAAAATATTTTAAACTATGTGCTACTGTTGTGATGTTTTGTGTTGATAGAAGTTTAAATAGGTTGCTATTTCCTTTTATTATTCTTTATTTATTTATTACTATTACATTACAATTACTTCAAGTCTATTAACAATAAAATGTAAAATAATACTTGTGTAATTGATATTTGATTATGATGTTTTATCATTAATTGTTATGATGTTTATGTTGTTGACTATAAGCCAAGACATCACTTGAAATGTCTTGGGAGCAAAACTAAAAGACATTACTTGAAATGCCTTGAGAGCAGAACTAAAAGACATTACTTGAAATGTCTTGGAGCAGAACTAAAAGACATTACTTGAAATGTCTTGAGAGCAGAACTAAAAGACATTACTTGAAATGTCTTGGGAGCAGAACTAAAAAGATTATAGAATTATAGATTTGTATTTAATCATTTTCTTCCAGATAATATATGAAGTTAAAATGTTATTAATGATTTATTTACTAATAACCTGTATTACGGTTTGCTGACTGCTAATATCTAAACAGCTGCGACCATATATTAGAAGCCTAACTATATTTATATAACTACAGTTATATAAATATAGTTTATATTTATACAACTACAGTTATATAAATATATGCTATAAACACTATACTATATTTATATAACTATATGCTATAAACACTATACTATATTTATATAACTAAAAACATACGCTTTTTTATTTTATTTATTAAAAGTTGCTAAATTATAAAGAAACATAACTTTGTAAATTGAAGGGGCAACTATATTTGTTTCTCATACAGCTTTTTTAGCATAAGGTGAACTTATACCTGACTATTTCATTTCAGGCTGACTCTTTCATTACTAAATAATTAACAACTTATATCAGGCCTTCTCGTAAGAGGCATGCGATCGCATGCCTTATATGACCATGCATATAGTTCTTTGTTTTAACAATTTGACCACGGCTTTTTACAAGTTCTGATAATAAGCGCGTTTAAAAAATGCGCTAAAAAAAACAACAGCAAATTTAAATGCGATTTTTAATTTAATTAATTCCATAATTACAACTAAAGTACTACAAAATTTCCTTAGTACTTTAATACAAATTAATAAAAGACAACCATTGGAAAAAATATTTAGATAAGAGTTTAAGGCAAAATGAGTACAGAAGCTATCAAAAAATAATTACAAACCGTTTTATCATGGAAATATAATTTTTAATAAAGAAATTATTTGCTAAAAAAAGATTTACAATAATCTTAAAACAGTCAAATCTGCCAACTATTTCTTATCCCAGGGCATGACATCATTTTTTTTAATGAACGTTGACTTGCATATCTTTATTTATTAAAGAACGCTTAATTTAAGAGATTTATGTCAAATAAATTTCAAATAATTTTTATTCTAGATAATAAGTTATTAAATACATAAAAAATGCAAGTTATTAAATAAATAAAAAATAAACTACACATTTGCAAAGTGCGCGCAAATTAATGATAAAGGCACAATAAAAAAAAACTTTAGAAAGTGTTTTTAACATGCAAACAAACATTATTTCACTTTATGGAAAACAAGAAAATTAAAAAAAAAAGCATGCAAAATTTTATTAATAATGAATTTATTTGATTTAAACTTTTAATGTTAAAAACATATAAGAAACCATACTTAAACTTTACGATCGCTTTCTTCAATAAAAGAAAGGAATCGAAATGCTAAAGCACGGTTTTTTTGGAAGTTTTTGCAAAAGCATTCATTTTAACTAAAATTATAAATGCTTTTGGAAGCCCATGCAAAAACCATAATAAACATAATTACTTTTTTTATTTTACTTAAAAGTGACGCTATTGAAAAAAGTAATTATTTTTTGGCGTAATTTAATTTAAAATAAAGTCTCTGAAATTAATTGTTTTTCATTTTAAATATGTGTTTTTTATAATTAACAAAAAACAATTGATCACAAAAATGAAAAAAAATGCTGAACTAATGCGTTTGCTTTGAAAAATCTTAATCGAAGGCAACGTTTGCATAAACAAAATTAAAATGTGATGTTTGTTTTTCTGTCTGTCTATAAAGAAATGCATTTCTTAAAAGACAGACAGAAAAAAATGCGTGCAAAGTTACTTACGTTTTTAAACATCAATTTCTAAAAAAATAAATAAAAAATCTGAGCAGGGGAGGGGGAAGACGTCCTCATGACCCTTTCTTTCACTCTGGATCCGCCCTTGTATTAGCCTATTTATTCATGGGAAGGAATAATAAAGATTATTAGAGCTGTGGTTTTTTTTTTTACTTTCGCTTAAAATTAAGTTTACATTAATGTTTTGATTTTTTTTCTGGTTCTTCCTTTGTTTATTTTATCATTCTTTAAATGTTTTATTTTTTTAGCCTAATTTTTGTATTATATGTTTTTTTAAAAATTTTATTCTCTTTTCAGTTTATAGATTATTTTAATTTTAGTTTGCTTTGTTTTTGTTTTTTTTGGCGCATTTTTTAAATGCGCTAATTATTAAAACTTACACAGAGCCGTGGTCAAGTTGTTAAAACAAAGAACTATATGCGTGGTCATATAAGTTGTGCGAACGCACGCCTCTTACGAGAAGGCCTGGATATAATAATCTATAGCAATTTGGGATTGCAGATTTTAAAATTTAGGAAAGTTAGTTTTTTCTTTTTTTAAAAATAAAATTTTTATGTATCTATTCAAAATAACTCATCTTTTTTTTTAGCACATTTAAAAAGATTTTAATTAAAATTTTATCATCTCTAATATTTAAAGGTTATAGATAAGGTTAGATAACTAAAAGAGTTAGATAAGTTACAGAGGTTTCTCTGATAAGTAACCTCTGTAACCTTTTTTGAAACTTAGTAAAATATTCTTTTATAAAAGAATGCATACCTTTTTAATGAACCCATCACATCACTGTAATCTCCTGTAAAGTTCTAAAAAAAAGTAAATAAATTGCAAAAGACTATATGCATCAATGCAAACCTTATTGTAACCAGTGACTGCTAAGATTAATGTGATGACAAAAAATCAACTTAAGACTGCAGCTTAGCTACAAAAAATCAACTCAAGACAGCAGTTTAGCTGCAAAAAACATTAAGACTACATGCTACATTAGGCTAAAGACTTTATATGTGCATATGTTACATTAAACTAAAAACTACATATGCACATATGTTAAGCTAAAAAATATGCACTAGAATAAAAACTAAAAAAATTATAGTTTTTAAAAAATGTTTTTTTTTAAAAACTATAAAAACTTTTTTAATTAAAAAAAAACAGATTTAAGTAACATACAAGAACAGCTTCAAGTAACACACAAGAACAGCTTCAAGTAACAAACAAGAACAGCTTCAAGTAACAACAAGAACAGCTTTAAGTAACAAACAAGAACAGCTTCAAGTAACAAACAAGAACAGCTTTAAGTAACAAACAAGAACAGCTTTATATAACAAACAAGAATAACTTTAAATAATAAACAAGAACAGCTTTAAGTAACAACAAGAACAGCTTTAAGTAACAAACAAGAACAGCTTCAAGTAACAAACAAGAACAGCTTTAAGTAACAAACAAGAACAGCTTTATATAACAAACAAGAATAACTTTAAATAATAAACAAGAACAGCTTTAAGTAACAACAAGAACAGCTTTATGTAACAAACAAGAACAGCTTCAAGTAACAACAAGAACAGCTTAAAGTAACAAACAAGAACAGCTTCAAGTAACAAACAAGAACAGCTTCAAGTAACAAACAAGAACAGCTTTAAGTAACAAACAAGAACAGTTTTAGGAAATGAGAAGAACAAGAATTTCTTTTTTTATTTGTTATTATTTTAATAAAAATTACTAAACTAACAAATTATAATCTACATATAAATATTTATTTATAATTATGCAATACATTAGTTATATTAAATAATATTATAACTATAAATTTGATTTTTAAGTATTATTAGTAAATCACACTTTTTCCATTCACTAGGTAGAAATTCAAAGAAAAAAACTTACATGTTTCTTTTGAAAACAACTTTTAAATGTGTCCACAATATAAATTGTGGGCCAATAATAATTGCTATTTTGTGAAATAATAAATAATTTGCTGCATTTTACGTTTTAGATTATTTAGCTGTTTTTAAAGACCTTAATAATTTAAAATGATTTTAAACTAAACATAAATCTATATAATGATCTTAAATTTGTTTTTTTTAAAAAAAACATAGATTTAAATCAAAGTATAACTAAATAAAAAAAAAGATTTTTGCCATTCCATTCCAGTTTTGCAATATCTTTTTTTATAGTGAAAGAAAAATCTTACTAACTGGTATCCAATTTAAAAGTTTGTTTTAACTGATTTTGCATTGAGGCCTTTTTATAATAAAATATTCATACATGTAAAAATTTATAATCTGACTTTAAAAAAATTAAAACAACAACAGAAAAAATGGCACTCAATTATCCCAGGGGCTATTTTAGACCCTTTTCCAAAGCGCTGAACAAGTTTTGGGTTAGTTTTTTATATTGGCAAATTTTTTTTATAGATCTATTTTATTTGGCAATGTTTCCATCAATATATCCTAACAGCAAGAGGTGTATTTCATAAAGAGTAAATCTTTTATAAGTTACTATTGACACATGAAAAAAAAAAAAAAAAAGCAAAAGCATTCATTTAGAAATGATATCTTGAAAGCAATTAAGAAGGACGCAGTATTATTAGGCTATAGTAACTTAAGAATTGTATAAAAAATTCAAACCAACATTTCAAAAAAAAGTTGGATTAAAATTTTTTTTAGAAAGACTTTGCTACTTAAATGATACAAAGTAATGTTTTCAACTTGTTTCTTGGCACAGTGGTCTTATTTTCCGAGATTTGTGTTTCAGAATCTTAAAGTTTAAAAGGGGTTGTAACAATATTATTCAAAAAATTAGTAGCCTCCTTAAGTCTAGTGACCTACTCAGTGATAGGGAGATGTAGGAGAGAAGAGAGCTTTGAATATTTTTCAAATTTCTATTTATAAATTAATACTACTTTTATTTTAAATACTTTTAAATGTCATAATATTTGACCAATTTTTACCCTCTCCCGCCTTGTCACAACATCATAATTCTTTAGTAGCAACTTTCGTATAAGCTGCCACAAAAATTAAAATGATAACAATTACTTATTTATTCACTACAAATAGACATGTCACTTGGTTTAGTCATATGTCAGTAAATATAGACTTGACTAACTTGACTCTACTACAAATAGTCATATATGAGTAAACATAGATCAGGTGTTTTAATGATTTTTCTTGATTAATAATATAAAAATTGCTTATAGAAACTAAACTTTAAGTACCATTACAAGGTTTTATCTTTTAATATTATATCTCTATATATTATTGCTGAACTTAACAGTTTTAGTAGTTAGTGTTTATTCAAGCTTGTTTGACATGGAACTATTTGCAGCCATTGCAACCAAGGTAGTGGCTAGAAAGAGTTGCAGCTTTGTTTTATGAGAAAAGGTGAACAAACGTGTATGCAAATATCTAACGTACATAAACTTCAAATCATATAATAATAAAACATACTGAAACATTTATTAAGTTTTACAGTTTGATTTTCACTTGAAAATTGCATCAAGCTCTCCTTATTTTTGATCTATAACATTTATTTCCGTTAAAAAAGTATTATATAGTTTTAAAAATTTTAGATTAACAATGCGCTAGCATGGCCGAGTGGATAGCGCGCCGAGCTTCTGAACAAGTGATCGGCGGTTTGAGCGACTTTTTAATTTTTTTGATTATTTAAAATACAAAATACTTTTAAAGTTTTATAGAGATTATATACAAACATATGTAATGATATTATACACTTTAACAAACTTGATGCATAAAAGTTTTTTTTTCCACAAACTGAGGTCAAAGAGCAAAATTTTTTTGGATTAGTGTTTAATAGCTGAGGTTCTTATTCTTACAGTTTTTAATCATATTCCTAAGAAATATTTTTATGACTATGTTTTACTGGTCTAAGATCTTCAAATTCCATTTGTATAGCATTACGTACAAACATCTGTAATTGTAAACTTCTTTAGCATATGTTGAGTTTGCATATATATATATATATATATATATATATATATATATATATATATATATATATATATATATATATATATATATATATATCAGCGCTCAAAATAACAGCCAATCAACAATCAATGATCAGCTATTTTTATGGAAATTTCAAAAAATTTGAAGAGAAAATAACCTGTTTTTGTGAAAAAATTACATTTGATCGTCAATCTTTGAAAAACTATTTCAAGCGCTGATATATAGCGCAAAATAAACTTTTATGCATCAAATTTCCTTTTGTATTTATCTTACATTTTTTATTTTTTAAAATTATGTTGCATACAGTTACACAAAAAGATATAAATCTGGTACACATGTATCATTTCACGAATAAGAGTTTGTATTTATTACAATAGTAATAAATAAATAGTTTTTGTCTTTATTAGAATATATCTCATAAAAATATATTCAATATATATTTAACAGAAGGAGTTTTTCTAAAAAATTTTAATAAAATCTTATTTCTAGTACTTTTTTTGCCATAAAGTGACGTCACATACACAAAAAAATTGTGGCTTCAACGATTTACGAAAAAGCCGCGTCTAATTTTTAATGGTCTAAGAAGCAGATGACGTTGTTTTAGCTATCAGAAATTATCAAAAGAGAGGCAAATCTAAAATTGAAGTTTTAAATTTTCCACTTAGATAAGACAATATGTTTCATGTTTTTTCAATCTTGTCAATTTTTTTAAATACAATAACATACATACAAAAAATCAAAACAAAACAGCTTGAGCAACAAATACTTGTAGTTTTTAGAAAAGTTTACTTATATTACATACCATCCTGAATAAAGCATTATATAACTGGATTTTTTATATTTTATAATTTATAATATTGCATTATATAACTGGATTTTTTATATTTTATAATTTTTTATATTTTATATATTGTTTATATAGGGATGGTTAAGCGTAACAAAGTTTAAAAAAAAAATAGGCTTTGTTAAAAAATGATTTATATGATTCTTTGCAAACACCAATACACTATACTTAAAAGTTTTAAGCATACTAAACTACAATTACTTTTAATTTTTTTGGTTTAGTGGCTTTGTTAAGAGCTTTTAAATTTTGCGCCAAATCTTATTTCAACATATTTGTTGCATCATCCATACTGCAGCCAAATTTCAAAATGCCCTAAGATAAAAAAAATAAATTTTAACTTTTTTTACCAAATAAGCTATTTTAGATGTCTAAAAACGTTATTTAATACATATTTTCAAGAGTTGTGAAAAAATTCATTAACACGTTCGCTTCCAAACCTGTTTTAGCAGGGCGTTATTACACTGCCAAGCCATAAATTATGCAATATTAAATTTCTGCCTAGGCTGTTTTGCGTTGTTTTATTCTCACTGTCAAGGCTAGATATCAACATTTCAATAAATAACATTTTTTCTATCAAACATAATTTAAAAGCATTTTTTTTCTGAATATAAAGGAGAAAAAAAAATCACTACGAGTATACTCGTACTTTGACAATGGAGAAGAAATTTTTTTCGCCAGTGCCAAAGTACGAGTATACTCATAAGCGTTTTGTAAATCATTGCAGTGCAGAGCAATTTAATGTATTTGATTCATTTAGATTTATATTTTCATTTTTCTGCATGTAATTACCAATAATAATGATTAGAACAAGTATTTTATCAATAATTTTTGACTATTTTTTTTTTTTTTTTTTTAAATTATATTTATCATCATTGTTGTTTTATTTATATTTGCAAATAATAAATATACACATAAATATTTAATTTTTATATATTAATATGTAAAGAATATAAATAATAATAAATATACACATATATATTTCTTTTTAGTTCATCAAAGATATTCTGCAATTGAAGCAACAAATATAATTATGAAGGAGGGTTGTGATAGCGAAAATGATGACCCTGATAACGGAGATTCGAATTCACTTTTTTCAAGTTCTTCTTCGTCTTCCAGCTATACTGAATCAGAGTCTGAATCTGAAGATTTGCATAAGGTTAAGGTACTTCTTGCATAAGGTTAAGGTACTTCTTGATCACTTGAATAGTAGAATGGATGAAATATACTCTCCTGATCATAATATTTCAATTGATAAGTCAATAATGCTTTGGAGGGGACGTCTCATATTTAGGCAATACATTAAAAACAAAAAGCATAAGTATGGGGTCAAATTGTATGAACTTTGCGAATCTGATGGTGTTGTAATGAAAAAAAAATTTATTCGGAGAGGCAACTCCCGATGAGCACTTGTTGGGTCAAACAGGACCTATTGTTTTAAAGTTAATGGAGAATTTTCTAAGAAAAGGATATCACTTGTATACTGACAACTTCTATAACTCCTTTGAATTATCGAAACATATGTTAACAGAAAAAACATACATATACGGTACATTATGAGGTGATCGTAAATTGAATCCAAAAGATTGTACAACAGCTAAGTTAAAAAAGGGAGACACCTTGAGCAGAAGCAGGGAAGATGTGATTATGGCTAAATGGAAAGATAGAAGAGACATTCTAATGATTAGGAACATGCATTCATTAGAGATGGTTGAAGTGATGAACAGAAGAGGTGTAAAGAAACTTAAACCCAATATAATTCGAGATTATAATAAAGGCATGTTAGGAGTTGATCGAGCTGATCAAATGGTATCTTATTATGACTGTCATAATAAGATACCATTATGACTATATACATATTTTCAATATATTTGTATTTAATGATTACTGCCTAAACTGCAAGTATGGAACAGATAAAGCAATCTACTACTACTACTACTACTACTACTACTACTACTACTACTACTACTACTACTACTACTACTACTACTACTACTACTACTACTACTAATTTCATCAATAATATATATATATATATATATATATATATATATATATATATATATATATATATATATATATATATATATATGAGCCCATCTGCAAAACGCAATGAGTCACAAAATTTTTTTTTTTGATTTTCTATAACATTTCTATATTCTATATTATACTGAAATCGTCTATATACGTCTATTTAAATACTAGATCTATTAAAAAGCTCTTAGTCCTAAAAACAGGTAAGGGAAAAATGTTTTCAAAACACGTTAAGTCAAACTGGCTTAAAGCTTCAAAACATGCTAAGTCAGAAGCCAATCAGTTAGGCGATAAGTGACACTATGTTTTTTTAACAACCAATGAAAAGTCTGTTTATACTTATTATTAGCGCACTTTTTCTTGGCGCATCAAATTATTTAAAATTTATCACCTAATACAAAATGGCTGAAATTAGAGAAAGTTTTATAGTTGTTGGAGAAAAAGCAAACAACCATCATACTTAAGGAGAAAACAAAAAGAAAGGTCATATTTATTATTTATTTCTAAATTATAAGTAATAAATCTTTTGATCAACGCAAGCCATATATTTTTTTATATCACTTTTAGGTGACTTATACACGGAAGGGGACTTTAAATAATTTTGGTAAATTTTTGGTAACTTTTCCCATCAAATTTAGTCAAAAATCTTAAAAAGCATAGCTTCAAACAATCGATGCGAATACTTCTATCAAGAAAAAATATAAAATATGAAATTTTTTTATATTAATGTGACCTCTACGCCACTCATTAGCCACTCTGCATAAAAATTGGTTGTCAAAAAAAAAAAAAAAAGGGATTGGCTACTGCTTATGTTTAAACATTTCTTTAGTTTTTTGAACTGTTATTTTTGGAATAATTGTTGGAATCTTATATTTATGCCTCTTATATTTAATTTATTAATTATTTAATTAATGTTTAATATAATTATTTATTAATATTTATATACTGCCTTCCTTTGGTTCTCAACTACTTGATAGAGAAGCTGACGTTGACTGTCATTTTTTGTCAAAATCTCATAAAAGTCTGTGGCCAATTTAACTGCCCCTTCTGCACAGTCATTAACCTCTTTCATGGCATGAAATATCTTACATGTAGTTTTTTAGTCATCACGAATAGCCCAGGCTTCTGGAGACAATGCCAAAACTCTTTTGGTAGATTAAGAAAGTCAAACAAATTTATTGAGAGTTGTCTAAAAAAATTAGCTATAGAGAGTTTAGAGAAAATATAAATTATTTTTAAAGCAATTTGAGATGAATCGCTCTAAAAATGATTTATATTTTTTGTCACCTGGTCTATGATTCTTTCTGTAAGGCAAATACAACTTCCACTTTTTCTTCAACAAAAATTTTATCACTAAATAATGGCAGTACTACAAGGTAGTGCTGCCCTTCAAGTATTTTTTTAAATTTCTTCACCACATGCAAGTTATTCTTTTTCAAGCTTTGTAAGGCATCCAGTTCTGCTTTTATCACTTACAAGAGGCTCAAACGGTGATTTTTCTAATTGCTAGCACTGAAACTTCAGTCTACCAAAAAGTTCAATGCTTGATCCTTTTGATACAAAAACGGATCAAACACTGCATTTGTGCAGATTTTAAGAATATGATTTCAGCAGACCAAAAACAGAACTCTTCGATTCACTGATTTCTTTATGACAGTTATTGCCCATTATGACTTCCTGTATTTCTTACAGTTGTATCAAAGCAAAGATCTGTGAGATGCTCCTCAATACCAGGCTACTCATAAATGAACTAAATACCAGGCTACTCATAAATGAACTAAACACCAGGCTACTCATAAATGAACTAAATACCAGGCTACTCATAAATGAACTAAACTACCTATCCATCAAATCACCAGTACCAGCATATTAGGTATTATAGGGATACCTAATAATTTTTCATTGTCTGAGCCAGATACAAGAATTGGTATACATGGCATTCATGCTTGGTTCCCTCAAATGACATCATTTGCCATCAAAATGAGCAACTAGTTGAACCTTTTTTTACTGCTATTGCAAGAGATTCACAGCACATAGTTCCAGCTTCCATTAAAGAGTTACAAGAAAATGTTAATTTATTTACATCAATACCAGAGTTGCATTTTTGTTGACAAATCTTACATCAATAACAGAGTTTTGTTGACAAATTTACATCAATAACAGAGTTGCATTTTTGTTGACAAATCTGTTATAGTTAATATAATTAGTTGATACAAAAATGTTTGAACAACTACAGTCCTACCTTTTTCAGTATTTAAAAACCTTAACAAATTACAAACAAACAAAACAAAAAGTTATAAAAACTTATAAACAAACCGTGCTATTGTTATTATTGGATCGCCGAGCAGTAGAGGTAAAAGCTAGAAAAAATATTCAAAGTCTATTATCAATATTTTTAATACATGATGATTTTAATACAAACAATGATTCATTTTATAGATTAAATGAAATGAGTCACCATATTAAAAATAACTTAAAAGAACAATATATTAGAAGCAACTCTAAAAAAGAATTAATGTCTTAATAAAAACTAAATCAACAACAAACTCATTGTTTCAACACCAATTTGGTATTATACACTTCACAATTCACTATGTTAAAATAACTAAAAGTTATTTTAACATAGTAAACTAATAAACTAATAAAATAATAAACTATGTGTTAATTTATTATAAGTTATTAAAAATTTAATATTTTGTATCTTACAATACTCATCTTATAATACTTACATTCTTGCATTGTCAACTGCACCTGTGAACTTACACCACGACCACGCGATTTACCTTGAGTACTTACTCTGCTTTTGGAGGCACGACTTCCTAAATGAATACAGGAGTATAATATGTAATAGTACACTAAAACAAAATAAGAAAGTTGTCAAAAATGAAAGTGAATTTTCAATTAGTAATATTGCTTCTCATAATTTTTGTATTACAGAAAATATTTATTATTAAGTTTTTTAAACAAGCCATTATAAAAAAAAAATTAAAAATAAGTATAATGTATCTACACTACCAAAAGTTTGGTTTCACTTGATAAATTTAATAATAAACAAAAAAAATTAAGATTTTTCTTATCATAGGTATTTATTTTAACTTTATAAATATTTATAAGTAATTTATAAGTATTATTTATAAGTATTATAGGTACATATATAGGTATATAGGTATATATATATAGGTATTTATTTATACTATTAATAATACAATAAAATAATAAATCATATTTTCAGCAAAAAATAGGAGATTATTTTGAATACCATGCAGTATGTTTTCACTTGCCAATTGCCCTGGATCCAAAAGGTTACATTAGAGTCACATTTATGCGCCTCTTATAAAACCTTCCTAATATTCGAATATATAGATGAGTCCTATTCCTAATATACAGACGGGTCCCTAATATTCTAAAAAAAAATCTTTAAAAACATATATTGGTTCTCAAAAGAAGGGAAATTAATTTAAAAACTTTGGCATATAAAATTCGCCGAATGGTCACACACGAGCAGTGAACGCCTGAGTGAAGAAATGAAGTACATTAGAATAAAGGAGAATTATTTATTAGACAAAGCATATTTTGACAGTTGTCAAGACAAAAATAAAGATTAATAGAGGAATATTTAAAAATAAATAAGACAAGCTATACAACCAAAACAGTACTCAACTATAATAACAATAAAAAAAATTAAAAAAAATTAAAACAAATAATAAAAAAAAAAAAAAAATATATATATATATATATATATAAATAAAAAATAAACAAATTGTTTTATAAATACCAATATGAACTAAAATATACAAGAAATACATAAACAGTCAAAAATTTGTAAAACAAAAAACCATTCAACAAATTAAAAATATGCTAACAACAATGAAAGGACTAATGATGGAAAAAAAAAATTAATGCTAATGTGTAAACATAATTAGTGTAGTGATTAAGTAATAAACATCTCCTTAGAGTCGCGTCTATTATTACTGGCGTTTCGATGAGGATCAGCATTTCTACGATACTTTTTCAACTGAAAAAGTATAGTAGAAAATATAATAGAAAAAATACTTATATATTAAAAATTTGTTTATGTAAAACAGCTAACAGAAAAATACAACTTTAAACTGTACGTTATGATACATTATACAGTTGCTAAAATTTGCTAAATTTTTATGTTGATCCTTCTACCAACCAATATCATGGACTAAAATTTATTAACTGATTCACTTCAAGCTAAAAAATGAATTCCAAAAAATCTAAAGTTCTTTGAAAATAAATTAAAAAAAAACACTCTGGCAATGCAAACAGAAAAATTGAATAAAAAACTACTCTGTTCAGAAAACTGAAAGTTTATCTTATCTCTGGATAACGTGACCGTGAAAAGCTACACGATGTGTAAAATACGCGCATCTGCTACAAAAAAATTCCGATAACATAATCGAAAAATCATTAGGCTCTTCATTAAACTCATATTTTATTGGACTTCGAATGAATAAATTTATTTAAAAAGTATGGTTGTGCAGTACTTACACTTATAATTAAAGATAGAAGATCATTTGAGGCTTCTGGGGCTGGCTTCATTAACTTGTGCTTGAGGTTTATTCAAGGACAACATCTACCACCACACCCGACCATTTTATCTCAAAATTTGTTTATTAAAAATTTATTTCAATGTTCTGTTTTTTCAATTGCTGAAAAACATTTTTCCATTGCATTTTTCACAGCAATTTTCAACTCCTGAACACTGATATCGCTAGAGGTTGTTTCCAAAGCTTTAATTATTGTTGTCACAATCGGAATACAGGAACTGATGCAAGAGTTAACACTTGACAACATTTTTGTTGCCTCCTCAGAAACACTTAAAATATTCACCACTTTTTCACAGAGCCTCCAATCTTGGACAGAAAATTCAATTAACACTGATGAAAATTTGATTAGGGTGGCAGCAATGGCTGGCTTCAGGTGTAAAGTTTGCTCAAGCATATAATAGGTAGAGTTCCATCTTGTAGCAACATCGCTTTTTAAGCCAAGTATTTTGTATCCATTTGGATTTCTTGCTGTCTGTAAAGTTCAATGTAGAAAGCAGTAGAATGGGATGCTTAAGAACAGAGTTTTCGACCCTTTGCAATCAGTCTGCCTATGATTGGATGTGAAAAAAGTTCTTTTTTGATAACAAGTTGAAGGGAGTAGCTAAGGCATCCGGCTGACACAAAATTACAGCTTGGTTAATTAAAGGCTGCCTTTATATTTGCTGCATTGTCTCTTAAGTAAACTTCAATTTTTGACTTCTCTGCTGCTGTTTTGATCTTGTTGAAAATATTTTTTGCTGCATGTCTTTTATCAAATTGAGGACAAGAGATACAGAATTCGACACGGTTACAATCTTTGGAAATAAAGTGAATTTTCATCCCTAGGTAGCCATGATGAAATGATGACCATGCATCAAGATAGACTGACACACTTTAGCTTCTGATTGAACCAACTTTTCCTTGAAAGCAAATTTTATTTTTTCATAAGTTGGATCTAGTAAACTTCTGTAGTATTTTTCGCAAGCAATTTTGTAATTCAACAAAAGCATGGTGCCTCAAAAACCCAGCATCATTGACAATTGACCACGGTTGGAGGTCAAGAACCATCATTTCAAATATTGACTTGAGAAAGTTTTGGCCTGTTTCAGAACTAGAGTCAATTTTTGAAGTAGCTTATTTGGAATTGTAGATTTTAACGTCAATTCTTTTTGATCGTATATTGAAGATTGGAACTTTTTCTTGTTTAATTTCAATTCAGCTTCTTTGTTGGTTTTTGGATTTCCTGAACTTTTGGATGATTCTTCAAGTATGATGTTAGCCCATATCATTCTTGTTTTTTGGGGTCACCTGATCCTCTTTAAACTTTGCTGTTGCATATTTTGCACTGAACTATTCTTGGATTGTTAGTTATGAATTATTTCCATGCTAAACTTGTTTTTCTTTTTGAATTCATTTAGTTAGAATGAAATATAAGACGGTTTTTCAATTTTGCTGGCTAGCGTCAAATACAAATGTTAAAAATATAATTGACTTTTTTGTATTTCCAATATTTATTGTAATGATTGCTACACAAAAAATCCCTTTGGACAATAATTAAGAATATGCTCTCTTCGGACAAATATTAACGATTTGAAACTACAACTCCTTTAAGGAAATTATAGTGTTGAAATTATTGTCCAATTGAAGTAGTTGTCCAATTGGACATTTTTTTCCAAGGGAAATTCTTGCATAAATGCAATTAAAAACTGTTGCTGTAAATTTAAAAAGAGTTAATTGAAGAGAAACAACAGATAATTTAAAACTTTATAGATTAGGATGAAAGTTGGATTTTTTTAATTAATTTTAATATTTAATATATATATATATATATATATATATATATATATATATATATATATATATATATATATATATATATATAAATATTATATATTATATATTATAAATATTGAGTATAACTTTTATATAAATATATATATATATATATATATATATATATATATATATATATATATATATATATATATATATATATATATATACATATATATATATATATATATATATATATATATATATATATATATATATATATTTATATAAAAGTTATACTCAATATTTATAATATATATTATAAACAAAAATATTTTAAATTTTTATTTTAATAATCAGAAGTTTTTTTTTGTATATTTTTTACTATAAATATATACAAGATTGAAAAAATTTCAAAATTTATTATGCTTAGGGAGGACTTGAACCTCCCGAAATGACACTGATGACAGCGCACTAAACCACTAAGTCAATGAAGATAAACATTTAGGAGAAAACAAACCATTTTTCTAGCCTATAATTTTTTTAAAACTTTGATTGTATTTAGATCTAAATAAAATAGATCGTTGTCAGACTTAAAATAATTAACATGAATGTATAAGCTTATTAACATGAATGTATAAGTGCTTCTTAAATAGGTTATTTTCAAAGTTAAAAAAATTATATTGCATTGACATTATTAATGTAATAACAAATTTTTGTAACAACTTTTGAGTTTAAAAATTGCTCCAATATATATATATATAAAAGTAGAAAATCACTTAGCAAAATTTTTTCTCATTTAACACTGTGCTTCATCAATAAAGACTCATCAGAAATCTAATAAAAATAGGTTTCCTTTGGTTCCTACTGATTTTAAATCTTATCTTAAAGGTAGTAGCAATGTAGTTTGTTAATTTCAATAACTTCATTAATTGATTATATGTGCAATTATTTGAATGACAGAGAGTGTTTTGGGATTGTTTTACATTTTTCCTTTACAATGTTGTGCATGCTCTATCAAACTCATAAAATATGCATAAATTACTTAGAAAAAATATGCATAAATTACTTAGAAAAAATATGCATAAATTACTTAGAAAAAAAAAGAGAATTATTTCATGGGTTTCATTATTCTTTAACAATATTTTATTTTAACTATCTTAGCAGAATTTTACTTAGGAAGATCTTTACTTAACTTATTAAATCAAAAAATAATAATAATACAAATAAAACTTGCTTCAAATAGTTTCCTTGCTTCAAATAGATTTCTGATGAGTCTTTATTGATGAAACACAGTGTTAAATGAGAAAAAATTTTGCTGAGTGATTTTCTACTAATTTGTAATTGCTCTGTTCTTTTAAGAACATTGAGCACTCTTTTTGTAGAATACATTTTAAATTGTTTAAATATATATATATATATATATATATATATATATATATATATATATATATATATATATATATATATATATATATATAACATTAGAATAAAAAAGAACAATAATATTTTTAACATTACTCTGAGCTTTATGCATATATATATATATATATATATATATATATATATATATATATATACATATATATAAAATTATATCATAAAATAGATAGATAGATTATAATATTTTAAATTGTTTAAATATATATATATATATATTATATATATATATATATATATATATATATATATATATATATATATATATAACATTAGAATAATAATAAAGAACAATTTTTAACATTACTCTGAGCTTTATGCAATCATCAGACGTCACAAATAACCATAACAACAACAAAAATTATAAACAAAAATGCAATAGAGTATTAGCTTAGATAATGTTAAAGTTGCAGATAACAAATTTATTTTCGTGGAAACATTTCAATATTAATTCATTTCGTTAATTCAGTAGTTTCAAAGATGAGGTAATGATATGATATTTTTCCATTAAACAAAGGTTACATGAAAGGTTATGTATCAAAATCTTTGTCACGTTATTGCATTTAATTAGTCTAGTGAAGCTGTAGTTGCTTTCTTCACTATTTAGAATAATTCATTGTAGATTTTTGTTTTTTAATAAAATAGTTTCAATTTAATATTGTATGTTTTTTTAGATAGACATAAAATTTCACGCTGTAACTGACAACGCTTATTATTACTTTTCTTTACAATTTGACAATGGCTGTTGACAACGCATAATGTTGGCTGTTGACAACGCATAACGGCTGTTTTAATGTTTTAACAATTTATATGCAATTAAAAAAATCATTACGTTATGAACAACTTTAAATAATTGACATTTTTTAAAGTTTTTATTTTACGCAAAGGCTTTAAATAAAATAAAATCAAAAATTAGTTTTAAATGATTGTTTAAAAATAAACGCAATATGTGTAAATTAAATGTTATATTTAATTTATTTTTTTATTAGGTATGTATTTTTAGTGATAAATTTAAACGTTTGAAACTATTTTTCCATGTCGTTCTAAAAATCTTTTAAAATATTATTTTTTTAAGTTACATTAAATTATGAATAAGTTATATTAAATCTTTCCACAATTGTTTCAAAGTTGTTTCTTTTTAAACTTGGCTTACTTAATTATAAGATGATTAAAAATTACTATGTTAAAAAGAGAACGTTATTTTTTTAAACAATTTTTTTTTTAAAATTTTTGAAAAAAATGTTTACACAAATTAAAAATATTAGGTTTTTTTCTTTTAAATAATAAATAAATTTGTTCATTTATTAAACAGTCAATAAAAGTAATGTGTAAAAACGTTTTGTATAACTTTTATTAAACATTTTAAAAGATCAGTTTTAAAGTAATTTTTTTCAAATGCAACATAACAAAAAGTAATTTCTAATTCAAGTTTTTTTAGTTTTATTTTAAAGCTAATTTATTTTCTTTGTTGTAAGTAATTATTTTTCTTATTCTTTAGTTTTTAAACTTTTTTCCTTGTTTAAGTTTAGGTTAATGTTTCTTTTCCAGCACATTTCAAAAACGTTTAAATCATCAAAACATCTTAACAGTTGTGGTTTATTTGTAAACAAACAAAAGAATCATTTGCGTGGTCAGAAAAAAAGGTTTAACCGCATCCTGTCCAAACTTTATTTTGTAGAATTCAATTCCCGTCAGTTAAAATGCCCGATTACTTCCTAAATTGAGCCTTGTATGTATATATATATATATATATATATATATATATATATATATATATATATATATATATATATATATATATATATATATATATATATATATATATATATATATATATATACTCTTGCATCACAAAGTTTTTCTGATAAACTGTAGTTTTAAAGAGCGCATTAATAAGCCTGACCAGAAAATGTTAAAAAAACTTCAAAAAGATTTTTTTAAATGATAGACTGCCTGCCCAAACCAAACCCTCAGTCAATGTAGCAGCACTCCGTTGCGAGTCAGGCTATTTGTCAGTCGATTTAGCAGCACTTCGTTGCGAGTCAGGCTATTTGTCAGTCGATGTAGCAGCACTCCGTTGCGAGTCAGGCTATTTGTCAGTCGATGTAGCAGCACTCTCTTGCAAGTCAGGCTATAAGATAGTTGATGTAGCAACACTTACGCATGTTTTAAAAATGTTTTTTTTAATAAAACAAAAACAAAAACACTATTAATTAAAAAATACTTTTTAGTCATTATTATTGCGGTTTTTTTTAAAAAACAATAAAATTTAATGTACTTCCGCATTAATTTAATTCCTTTGGCATTTCGACAACAATCAAATACAGCTTAAGAGATGAGGTCAAAGAGACTTTTTTTACATTAAAAGACTATTTCGACTACACTATAAGGATATATATATATATATATATATATATATATATATATATATATATATATATATATATATATATATATATATATATATATATACATATATATATATATATATATATATATATATATATAGGGATGGCAAAAATCCTGGATATTTTCAATCCCAGGATCTCAGGATTGAGAAATTTGTGCCTGGGGAAATCCCGGGATTGAATAGAAAAAAACACTACATATACTTTTTAAGTACTCATCAAATACTTAAAAATGATTAGTTAAGTGATAATATAATTAAAATATTTAATACATTAATGAACAAAAATTAAGTTACAAACATATTAAATCTTATCTGAGACTTTTAAAAATTAATGAACTTAAGTAATTTAAATTATAAAGCAATACCTTAAAATCATAACACAGTATAAGTAAAAATAATAATTAGAAAAATATATAAATATGCATGACTTCATTAATTAAACGGACGCTAAGAAAATTTTGTAATTTAATTAAACTGTTTTAAATAAATTTAAAACAGTTTAATTAAATACTTTCCAGCCATACAGAAAACCAGATGACCGCCCATTATACATCAACGTAGAATGGGTGGTCACCACAATTCTAACCATCCTCTTAGTATTATTAAATCCATACCAACTATGATATCTAACTGTATAGGCAATATTTCATCTAGCAGAAGAAGTTTTTGATAGAGCAACATTGTTTTATAACAATGCGTTAGCAGCAAGTGGGTTCAATGAAGCGATTACTTTCCAAAAAAATCTCGCCCCACCAAAACCAAAATCAAGAAACATTATTTGGTTTAATCCTTTTTTTTCGCAATAAGTAAAAACCAACGTCACAAAATATATATATATATATATATATATTATTATATATATATATATATATATATATATATATATATATATATATATATATATATATATATATATATATATATATATATATAATATATATATATATATATATGTATATATATATATATATATATATATATATATATATATATATATATATATATATATATAAATATATATATATATATATATATATATATATATATATATATATATATAATATATATATATATATATATATATATATATATATATATATATATATATATATATATATAATATATATATATATATATATAATATATATATATATATATTCATTTTGTGTACAATATTTTGTATATCTTATTTATTTTTCCTAAATATACATTACACTTCTAAATTTTTGTCATTTACTATTATTTATATCCTATATTCCCAAAATAAATAGTTGTAAATTTAACTCATTACAAAATATAGGGAAAATCAGCTTCAGAATATGAAAATTTGTAAAAATGTTGGGTGGCACTAATTTTTTGAGCCACCACTATATATATATATATATATATATTATATATATATATATATATATATATATATATATATATATATATATATATATATATATATATATATATATAATCATGAATAAAAACATAACTAATCATAGTTTAATGAAAAAGAAAATTTTTATCTAAAAAATGTAAACCTCGTCCACCCCTACTACCACGCCCTCTGAGTGGTCTAACTTCAGGTTCATTTGGTAATAAATTTCCGTCATCATCACTCTCAAATGAATCTTCAACATTATCATTGTTATTTGGTACTTGATTACGAGAACGAGCTAATAACTGCAAAATACTTTATTGGTTTATTAAACATAAAAAGATTTGATTATAAACTAAATGTGCATTTCATACTTAGGCTTGAAACAAAAAGATTTAGAACTTGATCAAAAAGGTTATGATAAGAAATCCCAATTAGTAATAAAAAAAAATAAAAAAATAAAAACTGCTTAAAAATTTAAACCTCATTAATTTCATCATCTTCTGTTTTCTCATCAACAACTTTATCATCAACTTTTAAACGAGATATTTCAAAAAGTATACTTTCTTCTTTAATATTCCTGCTAACCAATTTTTTTTGAGCTTTATTCAACTGATCTTTAACCAACAATTCTATGGCACTCTTTTCATCTTTCAGAATGAATTCATTTAATGCTTTTGAAAGCTTTCGTTCAGATAAAATATCCAATTGAAGTTTCTAGTAAAATAATAACAATATAATAATATTTATTGTATATAGAATAACTTTTTGTGTATGTATATAAAGTAACACATATTATATATTAGTATACTATGATTATTACTAATATATATATATATATATATATATATATATATATATATATATATATATATATATATATATATATATATATATATATATATATATATATATATATATATATATATATATATATATATATATGGGGTTTGAAATAACGAACTTTTTTGTACCGGACAATTTGTCCAAAAAAGACTCAAGACGTATTTTATTAACCTAGCCATGTGTTCAACTTCAATTTTGTTTTGTTTAAAAAATAAAGTTTATATACATTATTTTAGAACAACTAAAATGATCAGAAAATAAATGCACATAAAATATGAGTCGAACAAAATGACTGATAGATGTTACTTTTTACCAGACAATGTCTGATGTCCGGCGCTTATTTCGATCCCTGTATATATATATATATATATACATATATATATATATATATATATATATATATATATATATATATATATATATATATATATATATATATATACATACATATACATATACACACACACTAACTTTGAGAGAGCAATTAACATTTTATTCCACGCTAATCATTTTTATACTTATTACTTATTTACTTCAACATTTTTTAATAAATGATAGAAAAATAATTCATTTAAAAAAAATTGCTTTATAAGTGAAAAAATTAACACATGCACCGTTTCCGCATACACAGAGCTTATAAAATGGTTTATTTTTCACTTAAACATATATCTTTGACAGCAAAGTACGCCATCATCAGTGATGCTTCTGAGGGTTTGCAACGAAATTAAAGAACTCTTTTTTAATCTTGTCGCATATACTTATAGCAAGAAAATATATATAGCAAAAGACTTCAAATTGTCAAAATAAAAATTTAAGTTATCTCATATTATACATACATTATAAATGATTGTTCTAAATGCTGCCCACAAACTCAACTTATGCTAAAGACAATCTACACTTGGAGATATTTGTACAAATGAAATTTTTACATTCGTATAATTTTAAATGACATATTGTTATTACATATATATTTACATATTTGTATATAAATTTTTTATACTTCCTTATAAAAAATAGTGCTGAGAGACAATTCACAATTAAGAATGTAAGAAGTTTACAATTATCATTTATAAATATTAATATTTTTTTGCTGACATTTATAAAGAAAATACATAATTGTGTTTTGCAAATGATCATTACAATTATGGATTTTGGCTAAATACTGGATATCAAAATGTAGTGGATGGTAATTCTTTTGATGATTCTCTATATAAAGAAAAAGTGTTATCTGATTCTGCAATAACAGATTGCAGTGCAATCACACTTATAAAGGGCTTTGTTTTGCAATATTGTGACATACATGTTGCAACATAGCTAGACATAACTTTGGTTATTGTTACAAAGCTTGATTTTCATGACTCATGCTACCAAAAACTTTTTGAACACTTAGTTTCTTGTGCTGCCATTTAAACATCAGTTACATGAAATGTTTGCAAATTGTTTGACCTTATTCAGCATTGTTTTGACCATGTGAAAGATAATGCCAACATTTCATAAGGCATTTATGATCTTTTTAAAAATCTATTGTTGAATTGAAACAGTATAAATATTTCATTAATGTGAATTTGTGACGAAACAAATGCTAGCAGGTCATCTACAAAAAGAATTTAACCTTTACAATGTGTAAATAACATTCGAAGGTTGCGTTGCGTTGTTAACAGCCTTATGGTTTGGTACTAAGTCTAAGATAAAAAACTTTCTTTAATATTTTTTTTTATACATTTTTAAAATAAACAAATTCAAGGTTTTTTACAGTTTAATAAGGTTCTAAATGAAAATATAGTAAGCAAGGTTTATTGTTCAGCATATTCTGCAAGGTATGTTTTGCAAAATATTAAACAATTTAATAGAAAGGATGTGTGTGATATTTAAATAAATTAATTAATTATAAAATAAGGATGTGTGTGATATTTAAATCCTGGTGTTAAAACTAATATCAAAAATTTCAGGGAGCGGATTCACAAAACTTTTTTTAGCCTAAGTTTGGCGTAAGTTTGGAACTTATGACAAACACTTATTTCGTATTCACAAAACTTGCGCAAAAAACTTGCGCTTTATCTTGTGTAATTCCAACTCTCAAATTATGGCATTCACAAAACTTCTTAAGAAAATGCTCAGCTTGATTTAAGCAAAAAAAGTTACGTTAGGTAAAAGCTAACTTAAATTTGGCGTAACTTTAAAATATTGGCGCAGCTCACATACATTGATTTTTTTTGTTAAGATTTGTGATAAGATTTTTTAAAATTTGTGATAAATATAGTGTAAATGTGCCTATAAATTATTGAATTCTCTATACTATATTATGCCACATATATACTAAGTATAGTCATATACTATATTACAAAGTTTATTATATTTTACAAACTTTATTACAAATGTAGGCATACCTATACATAGTATGTAACATACATACAAAATGACATTATAGACTAATTAGTAAACAACATTTTAACAGAGTATATAATTATTAATAACTACATACTCTGTTAAAATGTATAATTTAAAGAAATACTTCTTATTAAATTTTAGCAGTTTAATCAAAGTAGTTTAATCTATAGGCTGGAGTTTCTTTTGCAGTAATATATTACTGCCTAAGGAACTACAACCTATAGATTAAAATATTTTGATTAAACTGCTAAAGTTTAATAAGAAGTATTTTTTTAATTTATAACTAGTACCTTTTACATTAATAACTACATACTCTGTTAAAATGTTGTTTACTAATTAGTCTGTAATATCATTTTGCAGCAATAACTACATACTCTGTTAAAATGTTATTTACTAAATAATCTATATGTTTTGTCAATTTGTTGTATAAAAGATGGCAGAAATTCTATGCAAGTTCTAAAAAATTCTTATTTTATTCTATTAATAATGAATATTGTTTGTTAATAAAGAATAATGTTTGTTAGCACATGCTTACAAATAAATAAGCTGTAAATTGCTGCTACTCAAACTTTTAGTTTGAGAGGAAGAGGTAATATTCCCAATATTAAGTTCAATAAATTTATGTTTATTAAAAAATTAAGTCGTATTTGTTTGAAGTTGTATTTCAAGTTGTATTGTTTGAAGTTGACTTCACTATTTACAAGAATATATATATATATATATATATATATATATATATATATATATATATATATATATATATATATATATATATATATATATATAATTCTTGTAAATAGTGAAGTCGTATTTCAGGTGGTCAAAAATATGAAAATCTAAAAGTATGGTCTAAATGCTTTGATTTTTTATTTAAAATAAGGTTCTAAAGTAAACTGCTCCTTAGCAAAGGCATAGCAATTGATATACATCATATATTGATTCTTATTGAAGCATCAATACATCATATATTGATTCTTATTTTTTAAAACCTTATTTTGGAAAATTATTGCTTGAGCAATAATTTTCCGAAATAAGGTTTTAAAAAATACTGAGTGAGAGTTGGGCTTTTTTTTGCCATAAAAATTATGTAACCAAACCACTTTACTGTGCTAAAATGTTATTTAATTTCTTTTTATGTGTAGATTGAAAGTTAATGTTATCTTTTTTAGTTATTAATGGTAAATATAACCTGAGTTTAATTCTTTATTATTCTTTTTTTTTTTAGTGAAGAATAAAATAAATATATTATTCTAATTGCACAATATAAAAATTGATGTTTTGAGGAGAAAAAAAACTTGTGCTTCTCAAGTTTTTAAAAAAAAAGGATGACGAAAATCAAGATTGCCAGTTTTTTTTGAAATATGAATGAATGATCATCATTATTTTTTTGTGTCTAAATTTTTCGTGCCTAAATCTCATTGTCGATGATGAAGCTATTCCACAACCTCACAATAATCATTTAATTGATGTGGATATTATTATACAATTTATTGCCTTTGTTTGAGCATGCCCTGACTGTAAGATGAAGTAAATTAACATGAATATAGATTGTATATAACCAGTAAAAAAGTTTCAAATAAAAATTCTAATGATTTTTGATATAAATATATATTTAGTAATTGCAATGCATGAAATCGGAAAAGAACATTACAAAAGTTGTGGTTTTGTGAATTAGAGGCATCATTTTTAAAATTAAGACATTCAATGTGTTTCAGAACTATTAATACCTGGTGCAAATTTTAGGCTGACAATATTATTGAAACATGTGTGAATAGAAAAACCAAGACAGCCTGTTGTAATTTTATAATCAAGCTAATATTTATTGATTTATACATGTTAGAAATATGCCTTGAAAAAACTCAAACCAATAAAAATTCTTTAATTGTAAAAATTTTAAAATGGTGTCTAAAAGATAAAGTGGTTAACTGAATATTTATTTAAAACTAATAATCCTGGTAATAATTATATAAAGTTTTGCAATCAAAAAGATAAAAAATTCAAAAATTAGAGCAAAATGAAAAGGTAATCAAGATAAATAAAACGAGATAAAATAACTTATGATGCTGAATGTTTTTAGTGATTTTAGTTCAATCTTTCAATTGATATTTTTTTATTGAAATTTGAAATAGGGTTACCAGAATTTTTACATTTTATAGAATATTTATTATTTTAAAATTTTTCAGTTTTACTAAACATGAATATTAATTTCTGTATGAAACTTAAATAGTTTAACAAACCTTATAAAAAACTTTTATAAATTTAGCCTACTGCTTTTATAAATTTAGACTATTGCTCTTAGATTGAGGATAAATCTTTAGAAATGAAATAAAAGTTTGTTTTAATATTTTAATTTATTTTTTTCAATTTTATTTATCTTAAATTGTTTTTTTCTCAGAATGCTATTTTTAGCATGCTGCAATAAATAACTTGAATAACTACTTGTTGTAGTGCTTTGAAATTTTGTTCCATTGTAGTAATATATATGATAAACTCATTGAAGCAATAAATTTTTTGGATTTTTTACTTGAGCAGAGTTATGGTGTTGTAAAGTTTTTTCTATTTTGGTATAAATTTTGGCTAATTAGTTGTTTATGCTATAACATCTTCATACTTTAAGATAATTTTGCTTCAATGAGTATCTTGTTATACTATAAGTAAACACTGAAAGTTTGAGCTTTCATAGAAACTACTATTATCTCAATACCTATCGATAAATCTCCTGGCTTTTTTATGGTATGTGACACAAAACTAGGATCCAAATGTGAAATTTTTTTTTTTTTTTTTTTTTAAAGCAATTTTTCAATATTATCTGAAAAATAGTATTTGTTGAAAATAAACGATTTTAGAAATTTGATCACCTTAATTTATTGCAGTTGTTAAACTGTAGATGTTATCAAATTTATTGCAGTTAATAAGTATTTATTACAGGTAGTAATTAATACTCTAATAGCAGTTTTCATTCAACTTGATTAGAAATCATTAAAAATTCTAACTAACATTTTAATTAATTTCTAAAAAAACAACTCCTTTAAAATAGTGCTTTTAATAGTTGCAAAGGCCAACAACAACAAGAATTTTTTGTTGCTGAACTAACAATACGATTTATTATTCCATTTCTCAAGGGTAAAAGTTTATAATATTGTAAAAAAATGTCAATGAGTCTCAAATAAAGCATATTTTCATAGAGATTTTTTATGTATCTGTAATTCCTTAAAATATTGATTAAATTTAATTTAATTTTTTTTTTCAAGTTTAAATTTATTTTCACTAATTAACCAATTTTCTTAGATTTAAACTTAAAAAAAAAAAGTTGCTATAATAATTGCAAAAGTAGTTGAGTATATAATAGTTGCTTTATTGATACATTTATACTACCTTGTTTACTTTAGTTAAAATGTAAACGAATGATATCTCACTTTTTTATAATCTAACTTGAACTTAGGCAAAAAATCTTTAGATTTTTTGTGTAGCTTTTGCGCAAACTTAACTTTATGCAAATGCTGCGAAATGTTTGTGAATACCAAATAGTTACGAAAAAATAAATTTGCGTACGATTTCCGTAAGTTACACAAGAGTAACAATAATTTTGTAAATCCGCAACCAGACCTCCAAAATGTGTTTTTAATAATAAATTATATCCACCATGTAATAAATTAAATCAACCATGATATATTGGCAACAAAATTAAAAAAATATTGCTACAAATAAAACAACCTTGTAATATTACAAAAGCCCAAGGTTTTCTATGAAAAAGCACAGTGGAAAGTCTTGAAATATTGTAAGTGTTGTTACTTTATTCTATATTTCTTTTACATTGTATTTTACAGCAAGTTTATTATAATTTTTTTTTGTTACTAGTGGAAAGGGGACAACTAAATAATCGCGAATTTCATAAGTGCAAACTTGCATAAGCGAGAATCGCATAAATGCAAGCTTGCATAAGTGTGAATTGGCATAAGTGCAAAGCAGTTGCAAAAACTGGAACTAGTGCGAACTGGCATAAGTATGAATTGACATAAGTGCACCGAACAAATTTGCAAACATTGGCATAAGTGTAAAGCAGTTGCAAAAACTGGCATAAGTGCGCTGAATAAATTTTAAAACATTGGCATAAGTGCGAATTGGTATAAGTGCGAAATGCCAATTTGCACTTATGTTATCATTTGCCATTGACCAAATCTTAGCAATAAAACAAGAAAATGCTTCCTTCATCTTGCTTTCCTGATTCATATAATTTGCAATCTTCTAAATCGTCTGTCAATCGTTATCTTGCTCTACAATCTTCGCCTTTTCTCTTAGTAACTTCCAACACTAACAAGTAATTGCTTGCAGCCTTGTTGGAAGCAAAGATGTTAAAAAAAAACTGATTTAAAGCAATTAAAGCAACCAAAGTGCTTAAACTACTGAGTAGTTATTATACATAAACAGCAATGAACCATTCCATAAAGAGAGTGCTCAACAAAACAAAAAGCTAAGGAGCTATATCCAACATTACACAACATTGTTTTGTTATTTAGGACTCATCAGTAATCTTCAGATTTTTTTGGGACATAATATTAGCAATAAAACAAGAAATTTATAAGAAATCATTTGTGTCATGCCAAAGTGCTCAAATACTAAGTAGTGGGCCAGCATTTAATATATATATATATATATATATATATACACATATATATATATATATATATATATATATATATATATATATATATATATATATATATATATATATATATATATATATATATATATATTTATATATATATATATATATATATATATATATATATATATATATATATATATATATATATATGTATAATATATACATATCAGGGTGTCAGACAGTCTGATGGCATTGTCATTAAAAAGCAAGATCATTAAAAGATGAAAAAAACTTTATTGAATAATTTATGTCTTTAGTTTAAATTTATCAATATGTTTAATATATTGTTTTTTTTTTTAATTTTTCCTTATTATTCAAAAACTCTTTATTTAAATTTTTAGTAATTTATATTCAGCTAGGAAAGTTGCAAAAATCTATGCATATTAATAAATAATAAATAATATACTTTATAATAAGCTGTTAATGTTTTTTTTTTAATTAAGAGATTTAAAAATACTTTTGGTAAACTAAATTTGCTGGTAAAGTACACCGAAAATAACAACAACAAAAAAATACTAATGAAACTTGAAAGGAAACGTGTTATTTATGCTTGAAAGTAAACGTGTTATTTATGTTATTTGCATAAAACATAAAAGAGTATAATTAAAATTTTAAATATACAAATACAAAATTTTCAAAATTTTTTTTTTTATACAAATATTCAAATTTGCTGCACAAAAATCGTGAATAAATCTCTGCCACTTTAATACCTTTGTTCCTTATTTATCTTTTTAATTATCTTTAATGGTAGAAATAATTACAATAAAGTGTGTTATTATCTAAAATTAAGTTTTTAAAATTTGTTTTGCGTAAAAAGCGAAAAAAAAAGCCATTCAAATGATAATCCATATTAGCCTTAAAATGTTTAAAATTTAAAATTTAAAGCCATTCAAATGATAATCCATATTAGCTCTAAAATGTTTAAAATTTAAAATTTAAAGCCATTCAAATGATAATCCATATTAGCCTTAAAATGTTTAAAATTTAAAATTTAAAGCCACTCAAATGATAATCCATATTAGCCTTAAAATGTTTAAAATTTAAAATTTAAAGCCATTCAAATGATAATCCATATTAGTCTTAAAATGTTTTTAACATTCAAATTTTGGTATAATTTTACAAACTAATGATCCTGGTACCCATACTCCAGCAATAATACAAATAAATGGATTTATGTGAGCTATATGTTAGGTTAGTTTATTTAGTAATCAAAAAAAGTATATACCGGTGTGCTATGTTAATACATAATTATTATTTGAACAATTTTAATACATTAACATTATGCATTGTTAATACATTATTATTAATGATGATATACATAATGATGATGACAATGATGATGATGATGACGTCGATGATGGGAATGCAGAACAAAAATATAAAATTTTAAATATCCTATTAGTCTTCTTCCTATCATAAGCAAGGTTTTTAAGTCTTTAATTAGCAAACACTTAATCTCTCATCTTGAATCTAAGAACTTACTTTCTGATCATCAATATGGAATTCGTTCTTCTTGTTCTACAGCTGATTTGTTAACAGTAATAACCAATAGGTTTTACTTTTAGTAACCAATAGATTTTATCATGCATTGGATAGAGGTGAAGAAGTTAAGGCTATCACTCTAGACATTTCTAAAGCGTTTGATAAAGTTTGGCATGCTGGTATTGTCAATAAGCTTTCTTCTTACAGTGTATCAGGTAACATTTTTATGATTATTGAACCCTTTCTTTCCAATCGTAGTATAAAAGTTATCCTCAATGGACACACTCTTCTTCTTATCCTGTAACTTCAGGGGTTCCTAAAGGTTCTATCCTTGGACTTTTACTCTTTTTAATCTACATTATCAATCTTTTGGATATTCTCACATTTAAGGTGGCATTGTTTGATGATGATACTACCATTTATTCTTGTCTTGATAAAAAGCCAACACTCTCTGATTGCTTAGAGGTGGGAATTTGAGTTTGAAAAGGATCTCACTTCTGCTACAGCAGGGCTCACAGTGGCTGGTGAACTTTTATTTAGATAAAACCCATTTTTTTTCAGCCAATCATCATAGCAATAATTTAGATCTTCCTATATTTATATACGGTAATGTACCCTTCATCCTATAGGATTAACTCTTCTGATCTTTCTTGGAAACCATATATCAAATCCATTGCAAAATTAGCATCTGCTAAGGTTGCATCTCTTTATCGTGCTCACCACTTTCTTACTCCAAATTCTATTCGTTATCTCTTATCAAAAACATATTATAAACATAGTTGGACCTGCTCTTGCAGCCAACTTCCAACCATCAAATCGCAGTAATGTTGCTTCTCTTTTTAGTTTCTACAAATACTATAATGGGCATTGCTCCAAATACTATACATGGGCACACTCTTTTTCTTTTCTACAAATACTATAATGGGTACTGCTACAAATACTATAATCGGTACAGAGCTAGTGTCTCTTGTGCCATCTAAAAAAATTCATTCTCGTGTTATTTGTCATTCAATTAAGTCTCATCCTTTTTCTGTGACTGTTCCCAATTGCTTTAAAAAGTCTATTTGTCTAGTTTTTTTCCTCGAACATCAGTTCTTTCAAATTCACTTCCTTCATCTTGCTTTCTTCATTCATACAATAAAAATCTTTTAAATTGTCTGGCAATCGTTATCTTGCTCTTCAAACTTTATCTTTTCTTTTCCAGTAACTTCCAACTCTAATAGTGGTTGCTTGCAGCCTTGTTGAAAGCAAAGATGTTTAAAAAAATAACATCAACAGAATTACTGAATGGAAACACATACCTCATCAACGGCATTCAAATATTCATTGATCAGATCTTCCATCTTAATTGAGCTTGCCTGAGAAAAATTTATGTCAACATCAGGTTTTGAATTCTTTTCATTGCGCTCTAAAACGACATTTGCATATATTTTCATATTTTGACTTGCATATAATTATTATATTAAATATTAAATATTTCAAATTTTTACTATTGTTTATAAATATTTCTAGAATAAAATTATTCATAACCAACTGAAAGACTTATATATCATTTGATGTTTTTATTTATCAATTTTATCAATGTTTTTGCTTATGTATCAATATCTAAATCTATCTTTCTATCTATATCTATATATCTATATATCTATATCTATATATCTATATATCTATATATCTATATCTATATCTATATCTATATATATATATATATATATATATATATATATATATATATATATATATATATATATATATATATATATATATATATATATATATATATCTGTGTGTTTGTGTGGGGTGTGTTTCATGGCAAAAAATGCAAAAGTTGTTAATTTTAAATCACTTATTTGAACTTTTAATAAACTTAACACCAAAAAGTTATTTTTATTTTGAAGTTTTATTAAAGAATAAATTATTTTATACAACATGCTCAAAAATATTAAACATTTAAGTTTTAAATTAGGAATTTAATTTCAAATTTGTGTAATGCACATAATTTTTAACAAAGTTCTAGTACTTTTTCTTAACACTTTTGTTATTTACAAAATGAACACTTTTTTAATAATAGTTTTCATGAACAAGTTTTTCATGTTTTCCTGGAAAAAAAAAACATTTCACAAAAACATGAAATCTCCCAAGAGGTTTAAAATAATTTAAATATTGATTTTTAAAAGTTATTTAAATTATTTTAAACCTCCCAAGAGGTTTAAAATAATTTAAATATTGATTTTTAAAAGTTATTTCATTTATTTTAAACATCCCAAGAGGTTTAAAATAATTTAAATATTGATTTTAAAATTGTCAACAGGAAAAAAATTGCTTTTTATCACGATTCCTTAAGGAGTTTTTTAAAACTCTTGATTTTAATAAGTTATAATAAATTGAATAAAATTCTTAAAAAAATTTAAACAAAGCTTTTCTAAGGACTTTAAAAACTTATCAAGCAGCTTATTGTAAGCATGATCCAGAACATAAAAAAAAAATAAAGAATGTCAATTATTAAATATCTCATCATCAATGAATGTCTAAAAGTATTACCTCAAAAAAAAATTACTTCTGGACAAACACAATGAATTTTTCGCCCCTTTTAAAGGTTTAAACCAAAAAAAAGTTACTCAAGAAAATCCAAATCTTTTTGTTTTTAATCTTTTTAATAAAATTAGTAAGCAACCTTTGATAATGCTGTAGATGAACACTATGATGTTTCCTTGATTATCATTACAATAAATATTCAAAAGCTGGAAAATCAAAATCAAAAACGACTGATTATAAATATGTAACTTCTTAATCCAAGAGCTTTATACCTTAAAGAGGGTCCAAACACAATTAGAGAAAATTTAGTTTTAGAACCTGAGTTGTATACATTATTTTAAATAGTCATAATTTTTGGAAAATTGTTACTTAACTAGTTTCTAATTGAAAATTGTTATTTAAAGTCGTTAATTGATCAAGAAAAATTAAATTTCCAACAAAAGGATGTTTAAGAAAGTTTCAAGCAATAAAATGAGCAAAAAAATAAAAAAATAAAAATTGATATTGAACCTTCTGTTATAAAATTTAAGACATCTTAATGACATCATTCAAGACATCTTATGCTGAATAAAACTGTTATCAAAATATAATTCTATTTATTGTTAGTTGACCAAGACCAATGAAAGTTAGCCATAAACCACTCCTGCCTTTTTTATGATTAAAAATTATATTTTTTACAATTAAAATCTCTTTTTACAATTAAAATATGAACAGCTAAACAAATTTCCTAAAAAATCGAAGAGGTATCGACAAGAAGGAGGTTCTAATCAAAAAAGCACAAGAGACAAAAAGCAGGGTGGTTTTTTGAACTTCACAAATATTCCATTTGTGTGTGTGTGTACATATTTGCAGTGTATATATATATATATATATATATATATATATATATATATATATATATATATATATATATATATATATATATATATATATATATATATATATATATATATATATATATATATATATATATATATATATATATATCTTTATTGTCTCTCTCAATACTAATAACTTTATTATTTAAGAAATTTTTGTTGGGTTATGGATACCAGTATCATCTGCTTGTAAAATATTACAATAAATGTTTAACTGTTATAGTTTATATAAAATTGTTACTATTGACGTTATCAGTTGAATGGTTTCTTTTGTTTTAAAATCTAATCAGGATGCATCAAGATTGATATAGAAGAATACTATAAGGATTATTGGGACAAAACACTTGGCTTTATTTACACTTCCTGATATGCCATTTTACAAAGTCTACACATAAGAACAAAATATTTATTTATTTAATATATTTTTCTCTGTAAAGTACTTTTTGTTTATACCATATCTGAAACTCAAAAGCTTTTTTAGTCATACAGCAACAACTTTTTCAGTTTTTTGTGCTATCTATTAAAATTTTTTTCTTTTTATATGAATGTAAATAGGCTTTATGTATGACAAATACATACACATTATATTAGTAGGTGTATGATAAATACATACACCTTATATTAAAAAATATGCCTAATTACCAACAGGAGTTTCATATCTACTAACAATTATGTGATTGTAACAATATAAAATGTAACAAATATGGAAAATCTATAGTATCCAAAGTATGTATCATACCTAAAGATATTTTTTGACTATACAGTGTTAATGGTCAACATTGAAAATGAAAACATTTTGGAATTAGAAATTATTTTACTGTGGAAGTATTTATAATTTAATATAATTAAACCTACTTTTTACTGTGTAGTGTTTGGCACACAGAACATAATTTAACATCAAACAAAAAAATTTTATTTTTGACCCAAATTTTATATTCAGTCAACTGTCGAAATTACTATTTTATTTGGTTATTCCAATTCAATTGCTAATTGATTTAAAACAAACTTATTTTCAGATTTTTTAGTTGAACATTTCATACTATTACCTCAAGTTGTTGAATTAGATTTTAAACATGTAATGATGATATACATAATGATGATGATGATGATGATGATGATGATGATGATGATGATGATGATGATGATGATGATGATGATGATGATGAATCAATTTAACACATGTAATATTTAAATATTTACAGTTAATACTTTTGTTTTAAAATGCATTTATGAATTTATAATTTATAAATATATTTATTTATAAAGTTTTGTTTGGTCATCAATTTCATTATTAATAAAATAAATAAAAAATAACTTTACCTTTATTTAGATTATTTTTTTTCCTGTAAAAAAGTAAAATATCTTTGTTGTTTGCAACTTTTCCGACAAATTGTTGACCGAATCGATGAGGATTTATAATATTATAACCACCACTATATTCTACCTAAATATAAAAAATATAAAAATAAAAAACAAATTTTTTAGGTTTTATCTGAAGACATCTTAGGCCGGCGTCTGTTGCAGAAAAAGCTTTAAAAAAAAAGACATTCGTTATACACATTTAGTAACTAAATTTCGAGAAAATTTTTTTGAAGATCTAAACAAACTAATCACAAAAAAAAAGTTCCCAGATTTTCATGGTCCCAATAACCAAAATATCTGAAGTCAAAGTTTTAGTCTATATAGAAACCATCCTATAGTTTTAACCAGGACGGTTTCTATTAAAAAAATAAAAATGATTTTCTTTTTTTTCTTAATTATGCCCAAATAATTAATAATTTTGATTTCAAATTTAGTTTGTATATTCTTTAGTTAACTACCAAAAGTACCTAAAAATTTGAATACTTTTTGATGTAGGTAACCTAGGTTCTAGACTTTTTTATTTTTGATGTGTTTTCTTAGGAGACTTGCCATTTGCCATTTTTATGCAATTAAAAGAGGACTGTAGTTAAAACAGAAATATTATTATTAACCAAATTTCCTATATATGCTACTGCTGCTGATGTTTATCTTGCAGTTCAAAATCAAAAAATATTAAATGACTATTATTACAATTTATTAATCTAAATTACTATCATAATCAGATTCAGACTCATATGATTCATCTGATTGGTTGTCATCATTCACTTCTTGATGGTTATCACCATGATTTACATTTGCAAAAATCTGGGTCAATTACTCAAGCTTTATTACAAGAACATCTTCTAGTGGAACAATCACGGCAATAATAGTGAACAAAATCAAGCGCCGTTGGAGTAGCAGGCAATTCTAGTCAAGATATGGTAATTAAAACTTAATCATTAAACCAACCATTCCCAAAGGGGCTTGGTGGGTTATTCACTGCCATATGTGATTGTTTTTTGATAAAAGCTTCATAATTAGCTCTATTAATGTGTAGAACAAGCAAATCTTTATTTTGTTGTAATGATGAATGATTTATTTTGTTGTAACGCGTCCTCGCTGAATTTACCAGACTTAAATATGTAATGAGCGGAATTAAAAGGTTTTTTTTGTTTAGTCCCGTATATGTCACAGACATGTTTTCAATTTATTTACTAGTTCATCAGATGGTGGTACTGAATCATCTAAAGTTTTAAAAGCATCAAAGTACTTTAGTTTCATCTGAAGGCACACCGTAGCAGAAATAACTTATTTGAAAACAAAAGTCCACCAGAAATGGTTTGCATTTTTGAAACCATGATATTTTGTACAGGGTTAAACACGCAGGTCATAGATTTTTTGTGTTCAAGATAGGTAACTTTTAGAGATGGTCTAAACTTAAATTTTGCAATATTGATAGTATCAAATAAAAATGCTTTACAAAAAATTACAATAATAGGAGCCTAGGAACAATATACACCTAAAAAATCGGGACCCACTGTTCCATATGTGGAAAGAAGAAAAAAATAACTTTTTTTTGTAGTTTCTTAAAATTGATTGCAATTCATCAGAAAAATTAATATATTTAAAAAAAATTTCTGATTGTTTTAAAATGGCGACCTATGAAGGTTTGCAAGCCCTCTGTTTGAGGGGGTTGTCAACTATACAAGGTCATAACTTTTGAACGTTAAAATATTTTTACATTATTTTTTTTAGTATGAAAACACTTATGTAGAAGTTACTTATCATGACAAATAAAAAATCTTGAAATTGATTTTTTGGAATATATTCAATTGTTTTTCAATTAGATAATGATTTAAGACTAAATAATAACTAATTATTTATTTCCAATTACAATCAATAATAGTTTTCAAAAGATACATACATACATATATATATATATATATATATATATATATATATATATATATATATATATATATATATATATATATATATATATATATATATATATATATAATAAAATATTTAATTTTAAAGTAAAACTGTTTTAAAGAAGGTATGTAGGGTGTTGTAGGTAACAGTGGCTTTAAGCAGGCTTTGCGGATAGTCTTTAAGACTACTAGAAACTTTGTATCCTCTCTTCCAAAACTGTTTAAAATCATAATGAAAAAATCATAAACTGTTCAAAATCATAATGAACAGATTCAGAGGTCTGTTCAGACCAAAAACCTAATTCTTTATTTGGATTGGAATTCAACATAAGCGAAAGAAATTCACGTATAATTTGATAAGAGCATATACTTTAGGTGACATTCTTAGACCAAGTTTTACATAAGTATCTTTGTACTCATTAATGGTTGACTCTAATTTTTGTACTCATTAATGGTTGACTTTAATTAGGTAACAAACTAGAACTAAGACATACAACATTAACAGATTTTAAATATTTAAAGGAATTAACTATAGAAATGATATGTTCATTTTTTTCAAGTTTCAAAGATTTTATAATTCTTTTAACACATGAACATTTTTTTGCCTATCATTTTAAAGATGAACATTCTTCATCTTTAAATTGATAAGCATGCAGCTTAGGCCTTTGAAAACTTAATATTTGGTTCCACTGGTTAGCTGATAAAGTAGCATCCATAGATTACAAATATTTTTTAAGATTATCATAAATTCTGTTTGTATTTCCACAAAGTAGATAAAGTTTCATTGGAGCAAGTATTTTAATAACTTTTACGTTTTCAGACTGATTAACTAGTGTAAGGTTAACGCAGTTAATATAAGATGCAGCTAAAAGCTTGGATTTTTTTGTAAATTTTTACTGGCGGCTTTGTAAGCGTTAAAATATAATCTTTTGAAAATTTTCTCTTCTTTATTATTGTCTCAACAAGTCCTTTAATGTTTTTACAATAAAAGCAAAATAATTACAATAAAAACTTCTGTATAACTTTGTCATTACATTTTTTAAATACACCCATTATTTGTCCATTGATGTTATGAAAAACTATTGTAACCTAAAAAAAATCATATAATTTGAAAAACTATATTAAAAAACATATTTGCATACATTAACTTCTGTTCAGAGAACCCCTCAATGGGGCTATTCTGAACATGGCATATTTTTATATTAAGAATTGGAAAAACATATTATTAAAGCAAGATTTAAAAATTTACTTGACATACCATTTTATAAAAATTACTCTATGAGTTATAAAAAAAACAATTATTTTGTTTTGATGAGCCCCTCATTATCTTGCTCTCCTATATATATATACACACACTACTAAAGCGTATCTTTATAAGCATTTGCTCACTTTTTTTGCTTACCTTAACCCATACAGCTTTTTTTAAAAAAGAAGAAAAAAAACAAAGAATAATGAATGAAATGATTGCTGCCTCATCCCAAACCCTCAGTCGATATAGCAGCACTCCACTGCGAGTCAGGCTATTTGTCAGTCGATGTATGTACTGAAGCCCCCAGCAGCATGCTATTTCAGTATGACGTCAGATTGCTTACCTTATACGCAATATTTTTATATACATACATACATATATGTCTATATATATATATATATATATATATATATATATATAAATATATATATTTTTTTTGTATATTGCTGGAGGTTGGAATGGCCTGGGGGATGGGTTGAGCTATGCTTTCCTATGATGTGATTTTTGTCGGTTTCTGTCGTGTTCCATGGATTGCTGTTGCCTGTTTCGTCATTTTCCAGAGTTTTCTGGAATGTTCCACGTTTTTCCGGAGTGGGCCAGAATTTTTCGGAGTGGTCTGGAGTTTTCCGGAATGTTCCATAGTGCACAATGTGGCTGTTCCATCACCTTCCAGAGCATTTGGGGGCTTTCCAGAGTGTTCCTTAGTGCTCTTTGGCTCCATCTGAAACCTTTCATGGGGATGTAGGTAGATCACCGGAGATCGCACATAGCTCAGTTTTTACCGGGTTGCTGAGGTGAACACATCATTTGCGGGGTTGCAATTCTGGGAGTCAGTTTGGGGGGTTGGTTTGCTTTTTGCATGTTGCTGTAGAGAATGGGTGGGAAAATATTGCTTTTTAGTGGTAATTAATTCATTTTTGGTTCTATAATTTTGTGGTCGTCAACTTGGTACAGGGACATTGTTCTTTTCAAATGAGTATTGTGTATGAATATATATAAAATTATGTGTGTATGGTGTATATAAAATCCCCAAATGGAAGAATTTTTAGTGTTGTGTACCAAGAGGCTCTGCAGCGGTTTTTTTATAGTACCCAGGATTGAGGGTTTTTTAGTCAAATAATTGATTTTTGGAGGTTGGGTTTTCTTTGTATACCAGCAACTTTGATTCGTTTTGGCAGTGCCCAGCAACGCGGGCACCTCTGCTAGTGTGTGTGTATATATATATATATATATATATATATATATATATATATATATATATATATATATATATATATATATATATATATATATATATATATATATATATATTAGAAGTGGTAAACGATTAATGATTAATCGATTAATTAACAAATGATTAATCTTTTTTTTTTTAATATAACAACTTTGCGTTTTTATGTTTCAAAGATTTTTATGAACATTTACAAGCGCTTTTTTAACGAAAAAGACTTGTGTTGACTTTTATCTGGCATCCGGTCAAATATAATTATAAACAAACAAAAACAATGCTTTTTCATAGTGCGGCTGCTTGACCACCATTTACAATGTCGTTTGGAAAAAACCGCTCTGAAGTTTGGAAACATTTTTTATTGGAAAATAAAAACAAATCAACATACAAGTGCAAACATTGTTCAGTCGAACTTAAATTCCATTCATCAACTTCAAGTTTCTTGTATCATTTAAAGCACAAACATAAAATTTTTTTGACAAAAGTTCTTTCAGAGAAGTCTAAAAATATACAGCCAAGTATTGCTGCCTATTGTAATAATAAAGGTAGCAAAACTCAAGATGTATTAGCTCGTTTGACTGCTGTTGATCGTATCCCTTTTACAACTTTGGCCAATAGCAAAGATATTGGCCAAAGGTGGAAAGCTCAAAGACTTAAAATCCCTGATGATCGACATGCTATAAAAATAATTG